CTAACGGTCTGGCTGTCTGAGGTGGAAGTTTGATGGCCTTGTTGACTAAGGAGGCAAATTGTCTCGCAGTTCGAAGAGGAAGCCTCAATAGCTGACGACCTGGGCCTTAGGAATTTGCCTTAGCGCCCTGGAAGCCTAACGTTGGCAGAGGCCGCCTAACATCTTAACATCCTATCGATGGAAATCTAACAGCCTAAAGTCGACAGCCTAGTAGCTTAAAGTTAGTGACTTATTTTATAAATATGGAAACAATTTAAAATACAGTAAAATCACTATGAAAGGTCTTGCAAAAGCACATACAAATGCATGATTATGGACGGCCAGGCTGTTACGAAACATATATATTTCCGCGACAAAGAGATATTGTTTTTATTGTTTTTCATATCATATATATTTGTAATGGTCTCAGAAAGTAATTATTATGCATGTCTAGTATACGTCACTTGTTTAAGGCAGCAAGGCTCCCACTTTCAGGATGTTATGCTTCAATCTTTAGACTGTAGCGTGCTACGAAGCTATTTTTTCCGTGCCCCAGAGATATTTTTCATATCAAATATGCTTCTAATGTTCTCCGAAAGTGATTATACGAATGCATTTTTCGGCTGTTTCGGTATGTCTAGTAGATGTCACATTCTTTAGGCTGCAAACTTCAGGCTATATAAGGCTGCCAACTTCACGAACACGTAGTTATGTAGATCTATTTGAATCAACATATGTGACTATTAATTGTTAATGTTTGCTTATCCTAATCATTTGCATTTAACGATTATCAAATAAACATATTAGAAGTAATTGTTGAAATAGTTGATATTCTTAATCTTAACTTGGTCAAAGGTCTTGCGTTTCTTTCACTTTTCCAGTACCTGATCGATTCAAACCGCATACTCGTGACATTTAATATGAAAATAGAGAGAAATAAAGAATCCCTAAAGAACTCACAAAACGACAAAATTGAAAATGTTGCGGGCTCGGTTTGATTTAGCCTATACGGACGGAAATGGAAAGTGCAAGTTACCATCCACACCCCCTAGCACCGGTTTAAGCAGTATTAAACCTTAGTATTATTTACAATAAAAAATTAATTGTTCACCAGACCAGTACTTTGAAACAATTGTCCTGTTACACACAAAATACTCAATAAAAGAATTATACAACTAATAAGTCAAGTCAAGTCAAGTCAAATATTTTATTGGCAAAAACAAATACATGTTCATCGCCAAGTTACCTAGGCGGTTATAACATATTTACATACAAGGTTAGCTTTTAAAAAAGCTAGTGGCGACTCGCTTCGTAATTTTTCTCCAGGGGTATGTTTAAATGTAAAAAAAATGTAAATAAGACTTAAACATATTTTCCCTAAGCATTTTAATAAAAATTATGTCCACTTCATCTTGGTTTGTGAAATATGATGTAGATACATGAACAAAATTTTAAAGTGGTCAACAAGGCAATACCACATGCCAAATATTTAAGGTTTAGGCATTTATAAGGTATAAACGTGTGCGTATGTGTTTCTATATAAGACGTGTCCTTGACCTATGTGTAGAAATATATGAACAACTATGAAAGAGGACTTCTTTAGTGTGGTTAATGTGCAGTCTTTGGTTTCATAGATATCATTTAAAGAGAAACTAAATTACACATTAGGGACAACAGATGCATAGGGATCCCAATTCCTGTTTATGCTCACCAGAGCACAACTTGCTCATAGTGAGCATAAAAGGGAATTATATAGTTAGAGGGCTTGGTATAATGATTATCTCCTGTACAAAGATTCAACGACAATACAATAATCAACACAAATATAGTTTATTCCTTTTCCCTCTATATCTAATACTATCCCGGATCCCGGGCGTCCCGGATCCCGGGATTTTCCCCCACCCTAAATACCGGAAAGGATAAAATGACCGGAAAAAAGAAAAAGAAAAAAATGCACAGAACCAGATGAACACTTATATCAATTTACCAAACGAAAACTTACTACAGAGAAAACAGGTGAAATCGCTAAATAAAAAGTCAGTGTAAATATGATTTATTGAAAAGAATTCATGAAAACAAACATTTTATTCATCATTATATCTTTGCGCTCAAAGCAATACTTGCTGCTTTTTAAAAATGGCGTGAAAATTGAAGGTTTTTTGACGCTATGTAAGATTAAATTTGATTGGCTTAATAATTTTGGATTCCGGCCCTGACAGATAAATTTTGTAGAAAGCTGGAAGCCAAGCTTCGATTAAATTTTTGGATGAATTCGGAGTTTTAGGTTGTTTCTCAGTAAAATCCTAACGTAATACCGGCTCGCCGTGGCGAGCCGGCAACATAAGAAAAGTTTAATAAACTTAGAATAATTACCTTACCATATCTCTTAATACATTCAATACTCCCGAGTGACAATATTCTTAGTTTAAAAATATATCATTGCAGAATTATATCGACTAGGGGGGACATTTCAGCTTCGTGAATTCACAATTTTAACTTTGTCATTTCACGTTTCACATTTCACGATTTCAACTTCATGATTTCACGATTTCAACTTCACGAATTCACGATTTCAACTACATGAATTTACGATTTCAACTTCACGAATTCAACTCCGTGAATTCATATTTTAAACTTCATGATTTTAACTTCACAAATTCAAGATTCTTGGTTGATCAATAACATTCTATATACACCTTCCCTAAATATTTTTCATTAGATCTACCTGCTAACTTGTAACCTCAGTCACTGTAGCTATGATAACGTATGAAACCTTGAATTCATGAAGTTAAGTCGGGAAGTTCAAAACGTGAATTCATGATGTTGAATTCATGAAATTCAAATCGAGAATTCATGAAGTTGAAATCGTGAATTCGTGAAGGTAAACCCGAGAATTAAAGAAGTTGGAATGTTATCACCGGTCATTCTTTCTGAGGCGCCAGATTTACTACTTACGACTTAGGCACTGGACCGTGTCAACGGTATGAAACATGTATATCTTAGGCAAGGGGATAGCAGGCCAATCAACCTCCATCTGTAACAAAATATGTTCCTTTATAAATAATGATTTACTTAAGGTTATAAAAACAAACATACACAATACAATCACTTACCTTCAGGTAATATACATGTAAGTCAATGATCATTAGATGAAAGCAATTTATAACACATAAAGAGAATTAGTTGTAACAAAATATACTCCTTTATTAAGTATAGATAATGATTTATTTAAGGTTATATAGACCAAACGTACACAAAACAACCTTATATTGGTATCTAAGTTTGCAAAATGCATTGACTACACGATGTTTTAAAAGATATTGGATTGCTGTCAAAAAAAAATATTTTTTCACGTGTGTAAGTAACCTAAAAGTAAAAGTTGCAGATATTTGGATAGACCTATTTGAATATTTTAACAGAACTCCATTCCAGTCGACTCCATTAGACGTTATGCCAGACCAATGCAGTCTTGAACATTGACAAATGGGTGCAACAGATACTGATTAATTGTCTCTACTAGACATCACAATTCTGTAATTTTAATTTTTCACCTTTCACGTTTTACACGTAAGAAAAATCTGATAATTATCAAGTTTCATTAAAAAGAAAAATGCATTTCTATAAATTTCGAAGCCAAATTTGCCAGTATTTTGCTCAGCATACAGAATTTCCTATAACCAACGTAAATATGGTCAAATACATTGCTGAAATACTATCAACAGGTAACCTTGGACTCACTAGTTAAAAAATTTCATTTTCGAAAAAAAATCTACCTCGTAAGTTCGTAAGTCTTTTCATGAAAATTTTACAGACGATCAAACTTTTTTTTGGATCGAAAATGCTGACATCGCATGCAGAAATGTATTTTCAATGATGTCGTTTAATAAAGGCCAAATCACAGACGTTCTTAAAATGAGTAACACTCTGACAGAAAAAAGATCACTCTCGTAATAGTTTTTCTTTCCTTTGCAATACGAGACTTTTAACTATATATCGTTTGTAATATTTTCTTTAGATAAAAAAGTAATTTTTGCGTTAGATGCTAAATAAATTCAGGTACGTATATTAATATACGTACCTGATAAATTGTATAAAAAGTATAATTGTTATACCTGTACTGTGATTTGTACTGAATTTGCTTTTTTCTCTTGAAGAAGTCAACTATAAAAATTAGAAGTATTAAATAATACTGTGGATATGATTTTGATCTTCATAAAAACAATACACCACCTTACAGACTGCCATGAGCCGTTTTCCAGGGAACTGGAATTCAAATTGGCAGGTTTAAATGGGAACAAAACTTTCCTGCTGGAGAGGAAGTGTTTGTCATTGACTGTTTTGTGAACTTACCGGTATATTAATATTTATTTCAGCTTCTAATCACCACTGGTGTCATTTCAGGAATAGGCAGAGTACATGTTTGCCTTTCTTTCAATCTGAAAAGTTTCAAAAATTCATTTTAACCAGCTTTTGGATCTCGATAAAAAAATATGAATATTGAAACTGGGACAAAAAATATTTCGAGAATCTTTCCATCTGATAACATCTGTATTCTATAGTCTTCGTAACCTCTAGCTGATACCTTCTAAAACCACATTTTGTTTAGTTTTGTCCATTGTTTTCTTATTTTTAAGTCTCTGTATTAATAGTTCGCCACTGTCACATCACAGTGTGTGGTAATAAAAAACAAACAAAAACAAACAAACAAAAACAACAAAGATAGACGTTTACGGCAAACATTTATTTTTGCCAAAATACGATAGGGCGACAGAAAGGGGTGACAATACGACATAAAAATCGACACGATTTCCCGTTTTATTCCGTCTATATCGTATCTTTGCTTATTTGCTGTTAAACAAAATGAAAAATCATATATTTCTTAGTGTACTGTACTGTACAGTAATAGATATTTTGATAGTTTTTAACAAGAACGTTATTGTCAATATAAACGATATAATCAATAAGTTATAACACGAATTTATAAATCCGTGGTAGCACCATAATTATATTTATGATAAAGGTCCAAGTTCACCGGATACTTAGTACAGTAGTTGGTGAGTTACTTCCCTTTTATCACATTTTCCATCTACCACGAACTGAACAGCTGGACTATATGTCACTCTGGTATGTGTAAACGTTTAGTTTATGTTATAAAAGTAACATATTAAGTAACATGTAAGTTTTGTTAAAACGTTTGCGTAATAACAAGACCGTCAATTTCTTTTTTGAAAAGTGCTTTGCTCGTCTTCTCATGTTATTTTAGTAAAATGTTCCCTCAGTTTAAGTCTTACATATATATTACTGAAATGTCAATAAGTGGCCCATGTTTTTCACTAACTTAACTCAGTATCATGCTGACACTTAAAATCAGCATCTGTACTGATTGAAAGTAGTGTTGGGATCCTGGCCTTTAAAGTATCAAATTACTGTGTCTAATTACAGATCTTATAGTTAACCTAACAGTTTACAGGTTAATATATAAAATCAATTATTTTAAACTGTATGTGGTAAAGTTAATTGTTTTTTAATTATATAACTTTTAACTTGAAATCTAATCAGTTGTTCGTTTAGTAAATAAAGACCTATGACACAAACTACTATCAATTACAAAAATGTGAAAATGGTCAATATCTTTGAATATTTTAGTTGAAGGCAGTCACAATGAAGTCAGTACACATGTTAATAAACCAGGGTAGAAAGTACGGTCAACATTACATTATGTGGAGGAGAAAGTTATGGTCAAATACTGATGGTACACAAGATGGTGTCATTCTCACTATACATGAAAGTATGACTATTTATATATATAATTGATTTATTGTTTAAATACATGTACATATAGATGTATTGTTAAACAAAAGGTAAGGAGTTCTTATGATATTTTATAGAAAATCCATGGCGTTAATTTAAAGTGCCACCTCTGAAGAACACGCTTCTATGAACCAATATCATCTTTACAATAAATTGATCAATGTTCTCAAAGTAGGACATCACAATAACAGCAACAATTCTCAGCAACATCCTAATATAGAATCATTCTGACATTGACACACTGTTGGTAGGTGATGATGAATTTTTATTTTGTTAGCTGCTTCAGCATGGGATTTCACATGGTTAAACATTTCCTCTTCTTAAAGGAATAATAAAATGTTTAATTAATAGATCTTTCAAATAAAATTTATAATTGTCATTATTGCAGGATTTTCGTATGCATGATTATAATGTGCAAAATATTTACAAAAAATGTAAGTCCAGCAATTTTATGTCTACTAAACACTGTAAGACCTTTAGGCATTAGTATTTGCTTAGTATAATAAATGGAGTGATTTTTTTTATTCCAACTGGGTGGCTTGTCCCTTGTAAACTATAATTCCAGCACTCATTCATACATTAGGGTGTCATTACATGTAACAAATAAACATGGTGTTGGTACAAAACAATACAATTTAAAGTTATAAATGTTCCTTTTAAATAATTTATTTATATGTAAAACGTTTTGTAATAATATTTCTCTTTTTTTTCTTCAATTGTTCAAACTTTATGATTATGTGTGTTCAATTTAATTCCAGCACGAGAAAAGTTGAAGAGTTTAGTGGGTGCACAACTGATATGGGGGTAATATATTTTCTTAATTAGCTTCATTGTTTGGTATAGAGCTGTTAATGAATAAGAGGGGTAGAAGTGTAAACTGTCAGATATGTCAGATGTTAGAGCTGTGAAACAGTATTCTGAGGGTCTAAGGTTCGTGTACAAATCAGACTGTACAGTTTTCTCACCCTGTAAAATTTGGTGCCAAACATGGGTTGGTGATGATATTTAGTTCCAGCTGTTTCACATTGTTTTCTAAACTCAAAAGAAATTCTAGGATAAATTTTAATATATTTGGGGAAAATGTTCCAGTATAGAACTATCAACTCATAAATTGGAAGATGCATACTAAGCAGCCTGATAGCTCTGTCAGTACAGTTGTGGAACATAATTTGACAGTTCTGGGTTTGAGTCCTGGTCAATCTTTACTTTTTTGACAAAAATAAAGTTCTAACTCCTTTTTCTTACTCCTTTTCTGATAATAGTTATCACAAAATTATTTTTTATGATCAAGTTTTGCACCAGTCAATTGAAACTCCATTCCTTCAATCTCTGAGGAATAGCCAGGACTTCAGTTTCACAAATTACCCTTGGTTAAGGCAGTCAGAATAAAAAAATTTCCTGCTAAATGCTCCCACACAATGAGTTACTTAGACATATGCGCTATTAGTTTTGGAACAAATTTAAACCACTTCATAACCGCCTACGTGGTTGAGGGATTAGAGTCAATGACTTCTAATCCGGGAGATGCTTTGGTAGTTTAGTACGGAGGAAGGTAGTCTAGTACTGGTGTAACTCTCCAGGAACGATGTTTAGGAAACTACCCGCCTATATGACTGAAATACTGTTGGGAAAAGGCGTAAAATGAAACAAACAAACAAACAAAAAAACAAACAAACTACTGCATTTATCTGGTAGTGCTTTCACAGACAGAGAGTTAAAGCATGGCTCATTTTCACAGCTTTACCCTACATTGATCTTAAAGTTGAGGTTCATGCTAACAGTTAGTTTAAACATATTTTATTTCTCAGAATATATATACATGATACAATTTACAATATACAGAGAGCAATTCAAATATTCTTAAAAAAACAGGATTAGAATGAAATTCTTCTCCCAACAGTTGACAGGCAAATAATAAAAACATGCCGTATCAAACTATTTAATATCTTAGTATTCAAAAATGAAAATACCTTTTATTCCATTAATATTAGATAGATAATTTAATTGCATCAAGAAACTTGAAGACAGATTTAGTGAATGTGTAAATGTAAATAAGTTACCATTTGTTTCAGTAACAACCTGTTACATTATTGTACAAATCAATAATAATATATGTTTACATAATTACTGGATGTTTATATTTTTAGATACAATATTTTAGTGTTTTACATCTTTAATGCATTTCCACAATGATATATGTTAGGGCCTTGCATTAAGTTTGTATGTAGATATTGATAATGATATGTCGATTTACATGTACCATGATATAATGAAGTATATTTTTAGATCATCAACAGAAAAGCAAGATGTGTTACCTGTTGCCTCAAGTCAAGATGAACTACCTGTCCGTTCAATGTCTGACAGTTTTAGGAAAGCTATAATTCCTCTAGGATCTAATCCAAGGTTGAAGGAGAAGTATACTAACTACTATAATGGTATCAGGTTTGGGAGAATTCTTGAAGATCTTGATACATTTGCAGGTAAGTTGTTCTCGTTATCTTTGTATGATTTAAGTTTTAGCACTTCCATGCATGATTTTTTGTGTTTCAGTATTGGCTCATTTACACAAGGTACAAATGTATATGAATTCAATATTGGCTCATTTACATAAGGTATATGACTTCAATATTGGCTCATTAACACAAGGTATATGACTTCAATATTGGCTCATTTACATAAGGTATATGACTTCAATATTGGCTCATTTACACAAGGTACAAATGTATATGAATTCAATATTGGCTCATTTACACAAGGTACAAATGTATATGACTTCAATATTGGCTCATTTACACAAGGTACAAATGTATATGAATTCAATATTGGCTCATTTACACAAGGTATAAATGTATATGACTTCAATATTGGCTCATTTACACAAGGTACAAATGTATATGACTTCAATATTGGCTCATTTACACAAGGTACAAATGTATATGACTTCAATATTGGCTCATTTACACAAGGTACAAATGTATATGAACTTCAATATTGGCTCATTTACACAAGGTACAAATGTATATGACTTCAATATTGGCTCATTTAACAAAGTACAAAGGTATATGACTTCAATATTGGCTCATTTACACAAGGTACAAATGTATATGACTTCAATATTGGCTCATTTACACAAGGTACAAATGTATATGACTTCAATATTGGCTCATTTACACAAGGTATAAATGTATATGACTTCAAATATTGGCTCATTTACACAAGGTACAAATGTATATATTGACTTCAATATTGGCTCATTTACACAAGGTACAAATGTATATGAATTCAATATTGGCTCATTTACACAAGGTACAAATGTATATGACTTCAATATTGGCTCATTTACACAAGGTACAAATGTATATGACTTCAATATTGGCTCATTTACACAAGGTATAAATGTATATGAATTCAATATTGGCTCATTTACACAAGGTATAAATGTATATGACTTCAATATTGGCTCTTTTACACAAGGTATAAATGTATATGAATTAAATATTGGCTCATTTACACAAAGTACAAATGTATATGACTTCAATATTGGCTCATTTACACAAGGTACAAATGTATATGACTTCAATAATGGCTCATTTACATAAGGTATATGAAATCAGTACTGGTTCATTTACAAGAAGTATACGAATTAAATATTAGCTCATTTACATTTACAAAAAGTATATGAATTTAGTATTGGCTCATTTAAATAAGGTATATGTTTATGTATTTAATATTTGGTTAACTAACATGTAGATCAATTATCTACATTATGTAAGGGAAGTAGAAAAACACATCAATTATTGTATAATTTCTGTTTAATTGGAAGCTTAATTTTACTCATGGTGCAGTTTTGATTACCACACTAAATATCTTTAATAGACTTGTCCATCTTTTGATCTGGACAAACCATTCATCAATTTTCGGGAAAATTTCAAAATATGTAGTGGCTATCAGTTATACAGCATTTAACATGTTATTTCAGTGGATATCAGTTATACAGCATTAAACATGTTATTTCAGTGGCTATCAGTTATACAGCATTTAACATGTTATTTCAGTGGCTATCAGTTATACAGCATTTAACATGTTATTTCAGTGGCTATCAGTTATACAGCATTTAACATGTTATTTCAGTGGCTATCAGTTATACAGCATTAAACATGTTATTTCAGTGGCTATCAGTTATACAGCATTAAACATGTTATTTCAGTGGCTATCAGTTATACACATACAATGGACTCATGTGATGCTGACAAGAAATCCCCTTTGAGTATTGTTACAGCACTTGTTGATAGAATAGGTAAACACATACATGTACAATCCTTTTACAGTTTGGTAGCCATAATAATATACATGTACAGTCACTTTATGTTTTCAAGCAAATAAGATTAATTAGGACACTTGTCACTACTGACTGTATAATAAGATGTTTTAAACATAATGTACACAATGTATTATTTTTGACTCATTTCTGATGAAGACTTGAAAAATATTGTTTATGTAGTAAAGTTCATAATGTGATTTTCACAAGTGCATAGAAAAAAAGCAAAAATATAAGCCATCTAAAATTTCATCAACCCATGTTCCTATATAAGCGAACATATTAGCCATTTAAAATTTCATCAACCGATGCTGTGACAGGGCAAATAGCACAGAAAGATTTTTTTTTAATTATCTCCATCATTTATTTTTTTAGCTCACCACAGCCGAAGGCTCATGGTGAGCTATTAGTATCAAATGGGGATGCTCCGTCGTCCCTTGTCATGCGTCAACAATCGTCTTCTTTTTTGAAACTACTAAGCAGATTTACTTCAAATTTGGTCTGAAGCATCCTTGTGACAGTCACACTTGAATTTGCTCATGTCATTTCAATTGGCCCCTTTTAGGGGTCAGCAAACCTAAAGATAGAAAAACCTTTAAACATCTTCTTCTACAGAACTAATTGATGGATGATCACTAAACTTTGTCTGTAGCATTCTTGGGTAGTCTTTTATCAAATTTACTCATATTAATTTGATTGGCCCCTTTTAGGGGCCGCTAAAGCTAAAAATAGAAAAAAACCTTTAAACGTCTATTTCTACAGAACTAATTCATAGATGATCACCAAACTTTGTCTGTAGCATTCTGTAGCTTACTCTAACCACTAGGACATCACTCCTCTTTCTGAGTCTTTAAAATGTTCCTTATCTTTTTCAGTATTTTAAATGACTGCTAGAGGGAATCCATTATTGTAGAAACAGACTAACAAGTACATGTGTTAAGTCTTACCAAGCATTATTAAGATTGTCTGATAGTTAATGGATAGTTTTTGACTTGTTTCTTGCAGAATTAAGCCAAGATGGTATAGTGCCTGATAAAGATATAAAGATGTCTGGTAAAGTAACATGGGCTGGTAAAACCTCAATGGAAATCACAATGGAGCTGGAACAGGTTTTTATTGTATATTTTGTTTAGCCTCAAACTGTTCCACTTAGTAAAATACATGGGGGTATCATTCTAAGTTTTTCATTCATATGATGAATGAGGTAATAAGGGTGCAAATTTTTTGAATTTTTATTAAGTTTTAAATTCATAGTAGGGCAAGTATGTAACATGAATATAGAAGTGCAGGAGAAAATCTGGAGATTTTGTTTGATAAGAATAGTTTTATTTTACATATAATACTCTAATTTTCTGTTTCAAACACCCACACTTATGAAAAATATCATTATATATTTATTGTAGGAGATTGACAATGAATGGAAAAGAATTCTTGATGCTAAGTTTCTTATGGTTGCTAGGAACCCTGTAACTAAAAGGTCAGTGTTTTCTTACAAGCAATGGAAATTTTTTTTTTTCACACAAAATACCTTATATAACCATTGTAAGATATGACAAGTAAGGTCCCCAAGTTAACATGTTTAAATGAGCTGTGCCATGACAAAACCAACATAATGGGTTTGCGACCAGCGAACAGCATGGATCCTGATCAGACTGCGCAGATTTCCATTGCTTGTAAGAAAACAAATGTATTTGTTTTGATTTTCATTAGTAAACATTTACAATATTTGTGACAAGGTTTACTGATAAGAATATCTTACTTATAACCTGTTATAGTTATTGAAACTCCATAGCACTCGGTCCAACACCAACAGTGCAACGTTTCATAAAATAGAGAATATAACATGTTTATTTCTCCGAACACCAACAGTGCATAATTTCCACTTAATGCCTTGTTAAAAGCGTGAAATAGTCAATCAGTGCTGTCTGAGACAAATGAAGAATGTAAGTGTAGCCAAACCTTCTATATAAATGACGCTGTAATTGGCTAATGATAGTCAGCAGCCCGTTAAACTGCTCGGATCTTTATATACTTTTTTGGCAAAATAAACTTTTCTTTGATATTTCAAGAGCTAAATTGGGAAATAAAGCAGAAAAATTGGCTTAACTCCCTCTGGTAAGCCCTGTGTAGAATGTTTATTTGTATTTCAAATAAATAGTTAGTATTCAAAGTGGCAACTTGAATACTAGATAAAGTATGACACCATAAAGTACCACCATTTAAATGGTATAGTTTCAGTTATTAGCATTCATGTAATCGTTTACAAAAATTGTAAAACTGGGAGCCTAAGTCACAAGAAGTGTTTATATACATGTAGTTAATTAAAATAATGTTAGTTTTTGCCAATTCAAATTGTCATGGTTTTATTTCTGATTAAATTGTATCATTGTTACCAATTTTTTAAACAAAAACCTCAAAAGTAGTTGTTTTTTGTAAAATATGTGAGCTGTTTATCATCTATATTTTTATGCCCTCGGCGGGTGGCATATTAAAATTGCACCGTCCGTCTGTCTCTCTCTCCGTCTGTGCATTTATTCATTCATGTCTAGGCTGTAACTTTGTCATCCATGGAGGGATATTGAAATAGCTTGGCACAAATGTCTACCACATTAAGATGATGTGTCGCATCCAAGACCCATGTCCCAAGGTGTTAAGTTTGCTACAAATAGCACTTCATTTCTCAAGAAAAATATGAAGTTACTTTATAGTTACTTTAATTCTCTTTTCTTTTCATAATACCTTTCTGCAATGCTTAAGAAACCTTTAACACCTTACATGTAAATTCCCAATTTAAGCTAAGATTCCAAAACCTAAGGGGTCATGCTTCCAAAAATATAGGAAGAATGGTACCATGGTTTTCAAAGTTACATTGTATACTGTTGGCTAACTAACTTTAAATTGCCATTGTGAGATACCTAACAGTGAATATCAACAGTTCCAAAAATGAAGCTGGAAATGTCTTAAGATTAGGTTAACTGTCTAAGATAATCACTTTGTGCATTTCATTCATTGTAAAATGTTTATGACAATTATGTTTTACAGCTCAGCTGTGATAAATAAGCTACAACCCAATACTACAGAGGAGGAAAGGCTATTTAAATTAGGAGAAGGTATGTTTTTCTACCTTTAACCATTGAAAATTTGTTCTTGATATGTTTGTCTTGAATTATTCGGACAAAGATACTTTTGCATGTGTGTTATTCATTTATTGTGTTATAAGGATATTTTTTTCAGGTATTCTTATTATGAAAATAAAACTCTATTTTGTTCATTTTTTCATGTTGTCCAATTTCCTTTTAATATGCCAACAAGCACTAAATTAACAGATGGAAAGCATAGATGTTTTTCTTGTTGTTTTTTTTACATTTGAAACCCTCTCTAAATCTTGTAAATGTTCAAACCATAACGAAGAACCTGTTATAATTTATAGTTCATTATTGTACTTTTTCACAGAAAGAATGCAGTCAGAATAATGTAATTTACATAAGATGTTTATTTTATGTAAAAATATTCTAAATTTTTAATCCACAACACAATATCCATCAGTAACAGCTGGCAAGTTACCTTACTTGAACCTAAAATAATCCACAACACAATATCTGTCAGTAAAGACTGGCAAGTTGTTATTTTACCATAAATGAGCCTGAAATAATCCACAACACAACATCTGTCAGTAAAGAGTGGCAAGTTGTTATTTTACCATACATGAACCTGAAATAATCCACAACACAATATCTGTCAGTAAAGAGTGGCAAGTTATCATTTTTCCTTACATGAACCTGAAATAATCCACAACACAATATCTGTCAGTAAAGACTGGCAAGTTATCATTTTTCCTTACATGAACCTGAAATAATCCACAACACAATATCTGTCAGTAAAGAGTGGCAAGTTGTCATTATTCCTTACATGAACCTGAAATAATCCACTACACAATATCTGTCGGTAAAGACTGGCAAGTTGTCATTTTTCCTTACATGAACCTGAAATAATCCACAACACAATATCTGTCAGTAAAGAGTGGCAAGTTGTCATTATTCCTTACATGAACCTGAAATAATCCACAACACAATATCTGTCAGTAAAGAGTGGCAAGTTGTCATTTTTCCTTACATGAACCTGAAATAATGACAACACAATATCTGTCAGTAAAGAGTGGCAAGTTGTTATTTTACCATACATGAACCTGAAATAATCCACAACACAATATCTGTCATTAAAGACTTGCAAGTTGTCATTTTTCCTTACATGAACTTGAAATAATCAACAACACAATATCTGTCAGAAAAGAGTGGCAAGTTATCATTTTTCCTTACATGAACCTGAAATAATCCACAACACAATATCTGTCAGTAAAGGCTGGAAAGTTGTCATTTTACCATACATGAACCTGAAATAATCCATAACACAATATCTGTCAGAAAAGAGTGGAAAGTTGTCATTTTTCCTTACATGAACCTGAAATAATCCACAACACAATATCTGTCAGAAAAGAGTGGCAAGTTGTCATTTTTCCTTACATGAACCTGAAATAATCCACAACACAATATCTGTCAGTAAAGAGTGGCAAGTTGATATTTTACCATACATGAACCTGAAATAATCCACAACACAATATCTGTCGGTAAAGTGTGGCAAGTTGTCATTTTTCCTTACATGAACCTGAAATAATCCACAACACAGTATCTGTCGTTAAAGACTGGCAAGTTGTTATTTTTCCTTACATGAACCTGAAATAATCCACAGCACAATATCTGTCAGTAAAAAGTGGCAAGTTGATATTTTACCATACATGAACCTGAAATAATCCACAACACAATATCTGTCAGAAAAGACTGGCAAGTTGTTATTTTACCATAGATGAACCTGAAATAATCCATAACACAATATCTGTCAGTAAAGGCTGGCAAGTTGTCATTTTTCCTTACTATACCTGAAATAATCCACAACACAATATCTGTCAGTAAAGGCTGGCAAGTTGTTATTTTTCCTTACATGAACCTGAAATAATCCACAACACAATATCTGTCAGTAAAGACTGGCAAGTTGTCATTTTACCATACATGAACCTGAAATAATCCACAACACAATATCTGTCAGTAAAGGCTGGCAAGTTGTCATTTTTCCTTACATGAACCTGAAATAATCCACAACACAATATCTGTCAGTAAAGGCTGGCAAGTTGTCATTTTAACATACATGAATCTTAAGTAATACACAACACAATATCCATCAGTAAAGGTGCTCATTTTCCAGAAATGATTTAAAGTGTAATAAAACCAAACAACATCAAAGTTATGTTTATATTATAGAATGTAAAGCAAAGCGTATGTTGGAGAGTAAGAAGACATTGTTAAAGGAGGCACCAGATGAAGAGGAGAGACTGTTAATTCACAATCTGTTTCTAGAGACAATGGACCCAAAGTAAGCTTTTCATTATCAAGTATATATCTTTTTCCATGTATTTCTTTATTGATATGTTACAAGCTCTAAATTTCATAAAAAATACTGTTATATTTGATTTCTAGATTTTATGCACCCTAATGCCATTGTTATATTTGATTTCTAGATTTTAAGCACCCTAATGCCATTGTTATATTTGATTTCTAGATTTTATGCACCCTAATGCCATTGTTATATTTGATTTCTAGATTTTATGCACTAAAATGCCATTGTTATATTTGATTTCTAGATTTTATGCACCCTAATGCCATTGTTATATTTGATTTCTAGATTTTATGCACCCTAATGCCATTGTTATATTTGATTTCTAGATTTTATACACCCTAATGCCATTGTTATATTTGATTTCTAGATTTTAAGCACCCTAATGCCATTGTTATATTTGATTTCTAGATTTTAAGCACCCTAATGCCATTGTTATATTTGATTTCTAGATTTTAAGCACCCTAATGCCACTGTTATATTTGATTTCTAGATTTTAAGCACCCTAATGCCATTGTTATATTTGACTAAAATACCATAGAATGAGTGTACATATTACTGGACTTTTAACCAGAACATATCTGTATGGTAGTGAGACCCCAGTTTGAATGGAGTTGTTGTTATGACAGCCCATGTCTCTTCATATCTTATCTTATAATTTGTATATATACAGCAAATAGTTCTTCTTTGAGGTTAAAGTTGTACAGATGTTACAGATGAGGTCACAAACTTCTAAAAAGTCAAATATAACAATTGAATAATAATAAAATGTCAAATACAACAATTTAATAATAATAAAATGTCAAATACAACAATTTAATAATAATAAATGTCAAATACAACAATTTAATAATAATAAAATGTCAAATACAACAATTCAATAATAATAAAATGTCAAATACAACAATTTAATAATAATAAAAAGTCAAATACAACAATTTAATAATAATAAAATGTCAAATACAACAATTTAATAATAATAAAATGTCAAATACAACAATTTAATAATAATTAAATGTCAACTACAACAATTTAATAATAATTAAATGTCAAATACAACAATGCAATAATAATAGTTAAAGATGATTGTGTAACATAATTTGATATCCAGGTGACACTTTGTACGAGGGTTGTCCCAATATTCTGTGACAAGATTGATTAAAAGCTAAATGAAAGAGGTATGAATTTGATATTTTAATATGTTATAAACCCATATAATTTAAACATTTTCACAAATTTTCATAGATTATTATCAACAAACAACAAAAATATGCAATAAACACTATGGCAACTAACTGAATCGCGGCGCACGTCCAACGTCAAAGACGGCGTTAAATCTATATAAGGCGCCTTTCTCAAATACTCTTAATGGCTTTCAACGCAATAATGGTACCCATAAATCGTCAATTTCTGACTTAAATCATGTGGTTGTTAATGTCTGTTGAATGTTTGGATGGCATACATTAATTTTTGCTATACGCGAACTTCCGGTTCCGTTACTCCTGTTTTTAGCTGTAGGAAATAGGCGACGAAGATCGGTCTTCCTATCCGTGTTTTGCTTATTTTCGCTTTTTGTAGCGCAAAACTCTGGTTCCGTTCATGCCTTTTGTACACAAATGCTCAGAATATGTTGCTAAACTGTTATATTTGGTATATTTGTTGAAAATCGTTACATGTGTCATCTCGAAATAGTCATGAAACCTGAGTGACCTGTTCACTGCGCCGCAAATTCTTCGAACGTCGCCACTTTAACTTTCCTATTTTATATGAGATATTTTCATTTATTCGTATCTTTTTCGTTTTTAAAGTTATTTAACTAAAATTTTCAGAGATGATTTAAACATAGCAGCAGAGGAAGTCAACGTGACATTGTGCAGACACATCATCAGATATTTGAAATATACGTAATTAATTTCAGCCTATTCATAACAAAATGTAAATTATTTGACGTGCGCCGGCAACTGAAACCAATGTCGTTAATACTGAAAATTTCTAAGTAACTAGGGTAATTTTTTTGTAAATGATTTGTTGTAATGTTAAATAATAAACTTAACGGTTATATGTGTGAATTATTTTCTGTTGGCGTTAAAAATGAACCGGCTATAAAGTTTGTCACGGACTTTTGGGACAACCCTCGTATGTTTGATACAAATTCTAACAGATTTGTATGGAGTAAGCGCGGCCTAGGCTACTCTACATATTTTGAAATGTTCAAGATAAGTCTGATGTTAGGATCGTGCCTTGGTCAAGGTAACATCATATATGATTATTTTATAGTTACATTGTATAATGAAAGCAAATATACATAAATAAAATTGATCTGACTTTCCTTTAGTGCCCACACATTTAAAGTGAGGATAAAGCCAGAAAATTCTGCCTGGATGGAAGAGACAATTTTAAAGAACCTTGTGATATGTATGCCAGAGGTATGTTTGTTAAATTTGGCATTCTTATTGAAGATTTGAAAATTGCTTTATAAGATTGGAAAGGAATATTTTGCAACTTCCAAATATTAATATAATTTTTGAGTGATAACGACTGATATTAGTAAATATATTAAATAACACAATAGTTTGATTTTGTTCCAACTTAGTTAGATATGTCATTTGATATAGATATATAGTTTGTAGAATTTTATTTTTATTTTTATCATTTTAGCAAAGAAACTTGTACAACAAAATATTTGGAGGATTCTTGATGAGAAAAGCTTTTGAACTTGCCTTTGCTAATGCTTCTCTTTTCTGGTATGTTCCCCAGTTTGTTGATATTTTTAGTGTTGTGCTTAAGTAAGCTATTTTTACCAGGCTATGTCTGTTGTATGTGGTTCATTGGGTGGGTCTTCAACTTCTGTTTAAAAACCACCTAAGTACTTTGGCCAATGTTGTTAAAACTGAGCAGGAAAGCTTTTTTAAAATGGTTCAAAGAAGTCAACTCCATGTTGACCTCTGGTTGCCATGGCAACTGAAAGAGAGTAATTTTAAATTGTGGTCTTCTCTAAAACTGCAAGGGCTAAAGCTTAGATATTTTGTAGGCCTATGTAACATTGTTTAGTTGGTAGAGACTTAGTTGGTCTCTACCAAATTTGTTCAAATTATAGCCCTGGGGTCAAAATTGGCCGTGCCCCTGTAAAATCTTGAAAAATAACCTCCTCTGAAACCACAAAGGTTAGAGCTTAGATATTTGGCATGAAACATTGTCTAGTGGACCTATACCAAATTTTTTTCTAATTATAGCTCTAGAGTCAAAATTGACCCCACCCTGGGGTTATTGGAGGGTGGGGGTTATATGTATACATGTATAGTTAAAACTAAAACTTTTGTATCAAAAACTGCATGGGGTTTGTTAAAATCATAGCCCTAGGGTCTTTGTTGACAAGTTGACCAGGGGGTCATGTGTTTTCCATATATTATGTATATACCCTCTTTTTATCTCTTGTTAAACAGACTTATATAGGAAAAGGGCTTTTAAATTTCATCTCTTCAGTAACAAAACACCCAAACCCAACATTTTGGTTGTAAGCATTGTCTGAACAACAAAAGTTATATAAAACATGACCCTGTGGTAAAAAACAGTCCTGCCGTCCTGAATTTATTTATCTACTTCTCCATTAATTTAGATGAGCAATATAGGAATGATATCACTATTAGAATAATTAATACTTGTTAAGCACTTAACAAAAAAGTGTAAGTATTGTAAGTATATGTATCTTAATTGAAAGAAGACTTTTGCATTTAGTTAATTAGTACAAAGATATTTGAAGAAAATCACTTTTTATCTCCTGAATATTTAAAAATTTAGAATTGTATTGTTTGTCCGGTGTTTTTTTCTTGTTTATACAACATTATAGACTTAATTGTTGCAGTCCAGATATTTTCATCTAGAGTCTTAAACTGTAGTAACAGTTTTTGCTGCGAAATAAGGTGAACTTACATGACTATGAATTGATTATGAACTATAATTTTATTTTTTTGTTTGATTTAATGTGTGTATTTTATAGTACCATGCTGTTACTATATTTGCATGTCCTTTGCTCTTTGTTAACAATGTTTTAATTTTACATGTACTTAGCAAAAGCCGTCCACACATAGAGGTTGTAGATGATATTGCCTTCAAAAAGTCTGTTGAAGTTGGATCCTTCCTATTTCTTTCTTCCGAGGTAAATATCAGTACATCAATTTTTCCTTGTGTATCAGTTTTTAGCTCACCTGTCACAAAGTGACATGGTGAGCTTTTGTGATCGCTTTTATTCCAGCGTCCGTAAACTTTACTTTAAACGATATCTCCTCATAAACCACTAAGCGAATTTCATCCAAACCTCACAGGAATGTTCCTTTGGAGGTCACCTTTAAAAATTGTTCAAAGAATTTAATTCCATGGAGAACTCTGGTTTGCATGGCAAGCAAAATTAAAAACTTTAAATATCTACTTCTAAAAAATCCAAAGAGCTAGTGCTTAGATATTTGGCATGAAACATGTTCTAGTGAGTGTCTACCAAGTTTATCAAATAAAAGCACTGGGGTCAAATTTGGCCCTGTCCCAGGGGGTCATTGATTTTCCCTATTTGTACATTTTTTAAAAAAAACTTAAAAAATCTTCTTTTAAAAAACCCAAAGAGCTAAACCTCAGATGTTTAGCATGAAAAATCTCCTAATGGGTGTCGACCAAGTTTTTTCAAATAGGAGCCCTGGGGTAAAAATTGGCCCCGCCCCGTGGGTCATTGATTTTCCTTATATGTGTATAGTAAAAACTTAAAAATCTTCTTTTAAAAAACCCAAAGAGCTAGAGTTTAGATGTTTAGCATGAAACATCTTCTAGTGAGGCCTTTACTAGAATTCTTTGAGATTTAACTTTTTAAATGTAATGTCATTTGGTCACATAGTATTTTTATTAGAAACAAATATACAAGTACAGTCATGGTGTCAAGTTGTTTTTCAAAAATGTTTTGCGTACCGCCTGTGTGGTCGAGGGGTTAGAGTCGATGACTTCTAATCCAGTTACCTCTCTGGCGTGGGTTTGATCCCCGGGAGATGCTCTGGTAGTTTAGCACAGAGGAAGGTAGTCTAGTACTGGTGTAACTCTCCAGGAACTATGGTTAGGAAACTACCCACCTATATGACTGAAATACTGTAGGGAAAAGGCGTAAATGAAACAAACAAACAAATCAAAAACGTTTATTATTAGGTTATTTTAGATACTTTTATGTAATCTGTATTTCAGATTGTGTACACTTTAGATACTAGACTTCTGATCAAAGTTCATGCTGAGGTTGTGAACCCATTTGATGAATCAAGGGAAACAACCAATGACTTTTACTTTGTTTTCAACACAAGAGATGTAAAGGTTCGCAGAGTTATCCCCAAAACATATGCAGGTATATAAATCTTCATTCTGTAAAGCCTTCTTACTCAACCCATAGATATCCTTTAACTCCAAGGTGAAACTAAACAAATTCAGTTACTTTAAACTAGAGATTTTGGACATGTATGTTGTGTTTTACAAATACGTTGGTATATAAACATCTAGTTTAATTTATTACTTATAATGAAATGCCAACATGTATGTACAGGTATGTTGAAAAATTCAAGTATGACCTGGATCATTATCTGACCTTGACCATAATAGTCTAATTACTGAAATTTGCTTAAATTGCCATAACTTTGTTATTTACTTACAGATTTGATTCATACTTGCACAAAATAACACATTTGACAAAACAAAAATGTTGAATTAGTCTGATATGACTTTAACCTTTAATTGACCTTGAATGTCAAGGTCAGATTATTAAAATTTGCTTAAATTGTCATAACTTTGTTATTTATTTATGGATTTGATTCAGTCTTGGAGTGGGCAAAAAGCACTTATCACTAAATTGACAAGATGACAAATGTGACCTTAACCTTTGAATGACCTTGACCATCAAGGTCATATATGAAGTTTGAATTATATTTGTTAAAAGAAAATGATCTTTTGTATGAACACTCTGCTATAATAGTCTTCCTCTATAGAAAAATTCAAGCCAGAAAAAATCCAGTGTGGCCCCCACTAGGCAGTTGTTCTTTTTGTTTGTGATTGAAATACTGCTGATAGAGATTGCCAGTGTGTATATCCAACAATAAGGCAATAATAATAATAGGAATATTTCCCAATATGTGAATCCAACATTTAATCAAAACTAGAAAAAGTGGCTCCCAGTATCTACTAGTAAGGGTTATTCCCAATATGTACATTCAACATTAAAGCCATACTCCCAGTTTGTACATCCAACATGAAAGCTTGAATGTTTATATTATATGACTTTATCAGTGTAATAATCCTAAAAAAAGAAATACATGTAGAAATTGAGACTTTAGGTCTATTTGTCTCACATCTTTAAGACCTTTTTGGTAATTGTTGTTAAAAAGGATCAAAATTTTATTCATAAAACTAATCTGCACTTTGTTTTTATTTCAGAATCTATGCTGTACTTGGATGGAAAAAGACATTTTGAACATTGAGTAGTAAAGAACACCCTTCATATACAGTTTGGTCAGTTAAGCTATTGGACCTCCAGTTTCCTAATCAACAATATTATTTTGCTGTAATTAGCTTATCCACCTGTGATATTATTTTATAATTTGTAGTCTATTTTTTCCTCTATTCTGGTTTTATATTGATGAAAATGTTTGATATATTTGTATTACAATATTTATATAAAAATGGACCAACTTTTGTTCATAGTATCTGTATCTGTAAGTTAAAATTGTCTGAAAAGAGCATACCTGTGAACTATACTTTAAAACTTTTTCTTTGAAGTTCAAAGTAATAGAAAACTGTATGTTAACTATTTTCTTACTTTCTTATTTTTGATCAAACAATAACTTTGTTAAAAAAACTGGACTCTTTGAAACAATAATTTCCATATTTGTATATAATTTATGTTAATGTTTTGTTTACCATAACATGTATACATTTTTCATCTTTATATACAACTACTTTGTTTAGATTTCTTTATTTTATTTTTAGCTTTGAATTTATTTAGTAATCATATTTTACTTAAACCCATTTAATGTTTTTCTTTAGATATTAAAACATATCAAAATAAAGTGGAAAGTTTGTTCTTATTCTATCTATAGGTTAAGAATAATTTCTTATGATTGTATAATAGCAGTGAATGAAAATACACATTTTTTTATATTGCATCATTTATTATGTCAGAACCTTCTATAAATATAGGTTTGTGCAAATATTTGCACATTATTTAATTTAACCCATGAAATATGGTAATATATCAGTCAAATATATTTCATATTTTTGAAAAATAAATATGAAATATAAATATGAAAGTGGGCGGAGTCGAAACGCATATTTATATTTAGGGACTACTTTCGCCATTTTGTTTGAAAAATCTGAGAAATACAAAACAAGTTTTTGTTGAATTTGGTTTTGAAAACTATCTAAAATGATAGAAAATGGTCTAACTAAGAAAATAAATCCGAACACCAATATCTTTAATTCAGTTATTAACGCTGTACATACGTTAAAAGAGTTGTTTACGTGACGTCACAATGTAGCGTCAAATATCGCGTATAATATATTACTGCGCGCTGTACACAGATGCGTAGCCAAACTCCTCACAGTGATTACCTCCCTTGGCAGAATTGTAATCACTGCCTTCAAAGACGTCACATGATGATGAAAGTCACATGACGTAACGTCGAAATTCAAATGTAAATATCGACTTTACAAAGAAAATCTAGCGTTATTTTTCTCTTTCTGTTTTATTTTTAACTTTTAGTGCCTACGTTCGATATAGTTTGTCAAAAAATTATCGAAAGTATACAAAGTAACGAAAAATAAATTCAAAAGCTAAAAAATATAAAATATCAAAATATCGTCTCGGTAGAAAATAATCTCATAATTTTTAAATTTATTTCTAAATATTCATATTATTTATTTATTTATCCATAAACATTGTTAAATCAATGAGAAAAAACTTAACTGATAGATAAAAGCAGTAAATAAAACAATTTTTGAAAAAATATAATAATTCTGATATATTGGGACCTTGGTGGCAGAGATCTACGCCGAAGAATTAAGGGGAGATCACTGCGTGGAGATTGATGCGTAGCAAGCCGGATTGGTAACCATTTTTCTGTGATGATGAAATTAAAGTTATAATACCGTTCAACGATGATATTTTACCCTACAACTTAGTTTTCAGAAATTATCACCTAAATCATAAGTATATCCTCATTAATGATGAACTGCTATACAATTTTAATCTTATTTCGCCGAAACACTCGGATGCAACTGGATATAATATCGCCAGTTTTTGAAATCCCCGCCATTTGTAAAAGCTCTCGGGCCCGATCGGTTTCATTCGGAATTAACTCATTTGCATACGGAAAAGTTCGGAAATGCTATAATTAGAAACAAGTTCGGAAACGCTATAATTAGAAACGTCAACAAACTTGCGACCCCGATATTAGGAGATATAATATAAATGACGGATGCAATTTTATTTTATGTTTTGTAATTAATAAACGATATGAAAAGCTATTTATTAGCTAAGGAATGTAGCTGATTCAGAGTCAACTCGTCCTCTGGTCAACTCGTCCTCTGGTCAACTCGTCACCTTTTTGGTCAACTCGTCCCTTGGACAACTCGTCCTCTAGTCAACTCGTCCCCAACTCGTCCCTTATATTTTATTACTACTTGTTTTTCATATAGTTCATAAATCATTATAGACTGTTAAAATAATATATTATAAAATTACTGAATTGGACATATTGTGACGCTTTTTGTATGCGAATATTTGGAGTTTCATCTTATAATAAGGATATATATGCATAATTCTGATTAAATTACATACAGATAAAAAAAAACACGAAGACGATCAATAGCAATAACATTTAATGTATAAAAACATGTTTTATATGCAAAGATAAAATATCTTAAAGTATGTCTTTTTTGTCAATATTATGTCATACATGTATATATTTACTTTCACACTTTCATTTAATTAACACGATCCTTCTATAATGAGATCAATACGCACCGACATAAAGTTTTAGCGCTTCTAATTTCTGTTAAAGACCCTGTAACACATTATTTTTATGGTTTTATATACAAATTATGATGCTCAAATTAAGATTTACCAATATTGTAAGTTTCAAAAAACATTATTTATAAAGATATTACCGAATTTGATATTTCATGTAAATAAAGGGAGGTAATTAGAATTTAGTTTTCTATAAATTCTAAGTCAATTTTTCCAATAAATAATGAATGCATACAATTTAATGATTACCTTAAATATGTACAAATATTTGCAATACATATTTTACATATTCTTCGATGTTTGAAAATTGACATTTTTTGCATAATTACATACCTATATAGTTTAATGAAGAGTGGTATGCAATCTCAATTACAAAACATACAGGATCGTTAATCTGTCGTCAGTCTTTAATCCATTCAGGGAGGCTGTAAAAATCAAAGAGTTGGACCTAATTTTAGTTTTAATTATCATTAAAACTCCGATTAATTAAACATTAATTGAATGTTTGTAAACTTACCTTAGTTTGACATCAAAGCTATGCACGTGCGCTTAGATAAAGATCATTAAAATTTAACGTAAAAAGACGTAATTATTTTATTAATATTTCGATATCAATCAAATTCAGTATTAATTTTACATATTTTACATAAAAGAATTATTTAAAGACATTTTAAAGACAGAGATCGAAAGTAGGGGACGAGTTGACCATATTAGGGACGAGTTGACCAAAAGTAGGGGACGAGTTGACCAAAAAGGTGTCGAGTTGACCAGAGGACGAGTTGACCAGGGGACGAGTTGACCGGATTGCATGTAGCTTATATCCTCGTAACGCGTTACGAAACAATCGGAAAAAGAACAAAGTCTGAGACTCTCACTAGAACTACAGTAAACAAGAAGATGGAGCGTTGGTCATGTCTATGTCGTACGGTTGCTGTGGTTATTTGAAATCGGTAAATTAGCCGTTCTTAATGATCGGTTCGTACCAGAAATAATACGTACCTATTACCAAGCTTCCATCGTAGTAATATGGCATACAGTAGTACTTGTGCGTCATGTAAATATTATGAAACACAGACACTTTGGCTTCGGTGCTCAATCTGTATTATATTATAGATGTTGAAATATGATTTTTTTTCAAAACGGCTTATTTTAAGTTTTTTTTGTGGATTTTAAAGGCGTTTTGAGCTCCAAACCAAAGTGTCTGTGTTAAGAAATTATAATGAAAAGAAATATAATTTGGCAATCTGGTGTAATAACCTGTATAGGGTGTTACCAGATTAAATAACCAGTCAACTGCATGCAAAAGCCAATACATATTTAACATCTACAGACTCAACCGTTTGATATATGATAATGTATAATTATACTTCAATTTATAAGCAAACAAGAATGGAAAAAGGACCAAGTTAAAGTTCTGATGCCTATAATTTTGAAAATGATCACTCAAGACCTGATTTTTATGTTAGCCTTTTGTAAAGGAGCACATTATGGAAAATAATGTACTAATGAGAATTTTATTCCAATACAAACACAGTGCAACCTGTGTAAATATTATTCTGTTAACAATGAACAGTTGCATTCCACTGAAAATAAGATTGCCAAGAATTAAATCCTAATCTCTGGATTATGTACACCGGTATGGCATAAAACCATAAATTTCACCACTTTATGTTCAAATGTTGAATTCTGCTAAAGCTGGTGCTAGGGGGCATGGAAGGTAACTTGCACTTTCCAACAGGCTCACCAAATAGAGCCTGCAACAGTTTCAATTTTGTCATTTTGGGCTTTCTGCAGGAATTCTTTATTTCTCTATTTTCTGATGTCAAATGTACTTTTTTAAAATTCAAATAAGATCACAGATTGTAACAATGTTTTACAAATACCTTTCAATGTTAATTAACACTCCACTTCTTTTAGCACGTTTCAGGACACATTTTGGAATGTTGTTAAAATAACAAAAACACAGATAAATTGAAACATGTATTTGAACATTGGCAGTAAAACAACAATAAAATATTTTCAAATGAACAGCATATCTTCTTTTTCTTACTCTTAAAATTGTACACCAGTGACTTCTTTACAGTTATAGTTTTATTCTTTATTCAATCCATGCTGTCTTAACAGGAAGAGAAAGTGTGAAGATGGCCAATATTGTAGAAGGAAATAAATAATATCTTAATTCCAACCAAATTGTATGAACTTGAGCTAACCCCTTATGGGTTTCTGGCGATGAAGGATATTATGCTTAAGCCATTGTGACCTTAGACCTTATTAACTCCAAACTAATGCTTAATTACTAATCTAAGCAATGTCCCTGGAAATGTTCAAAACCTTGGGACAATGAGTTTACATGTCACTGAGACCTTGAACTTATAATCAAATGGACCAATCTTAAAACTAATGGCAATCAGAATTTTTCCTTCTGAGTTACATAAACTATACCTTACAATGTTACACATATTTAAAGGAAGTTAAACTTTATGCCATCTTGAGCTTTAAATCTAATTACCTCAAAATCAGTTGGTGCCATTATCTGGGGAAGGGCAATGTTCCTACCAAGCCTAAAAACTGAGGCTTACCCCTGAATGTAAAATATTGTTTGTTCCCCACTCCCGCGACCTACCCACAAATAGCACATAGTGATTATTCTAGCGCGGAATGACAGGGCGCTCCGCCCTGCCCCTTTTTAGGTCCGCCCTTTTGCCTCTAAACACCGCCCGTATACTGAAATGCGCCCCGCTGCCCTCTTTTACCTGTACCCAATCAATATGTATAAGATAGATCTACATAAAAAACCTGTCAATCACTTATCTATAAGATAAGATTATGATGTTGACACGTTCCAATATACAAACCTGGTGCCCCACGGCGATAACAATTGACTGACCGATGTGAAGTGGGCCGTGTGAAGCGGCCCCGTGTGAAGTGGTTTCGATCAAATTAGCTATGTTTGCAACAGTTTGAAATGATTTGTAAGGAACATTACCGACTGATTGATAATCCGTGGTCATTAACTGATTAAAATGGCAATGATTTACGGACACAATCGAATTGTAATGCATTCGCTTATTTGTTTGTATGTCGGTAAAAAATTCGTATAAATGTACAACTTACAAGTACAGGTAATTACAATTAATTATTTACACATATTAATCTCTATAATTGCGTAAAGAATCTTTAAAGTCATAAGGATGGGTGTTATGGTTTCATTAATTAGTTGTTCATTTGAGAAACAAAATGCCGTCTGCGAAAAGGAAATTTGCAGAAATTGAAAAAGAGCGTGCGAAAATTCGCAAAACAAACCACAGTATTTCCTCTTTTTTGGAGCTAAAGAAAGGTACGATAAAAGTTATTTACATTTGCTAAGAATCGATTTTAAATGTGTTTCTCCCTTGCAATTCAACATTTATATAAAAGGAGGTGAATGAAATGATTTGTGTACGAAGCCACTACACTAGCAGTACGGCCCTGGACTGAAGTACGGTCCTGTACTGCCGTACTGCAAGCCGTTCGTTATATAGACTGTTTAGAGTAATCGTACGGTAATTTTACAGAAAATAAACAAAGACAATTATGAGTAAGCGAATATTTGTCTCTAGCTGTAAGACATTTTAATGAATTGAATGAATTATTAATCTACAGATTAACCGTTTTTCTGCGGTTGAAAGTCGGGAGATTTTTCTATGAAATAGTACAGTAACAACTACAGTTAGAATCTATTAGTCACCTGTAAAATCATATGTGAAAAATAATTATAAATTGCAAGATAATGACAATTTGTAATCAATTTCAATCAATTCGAAATTAGATTTACTTTATAAAGATAAAATCGTTGGTTTTTCTTTGAACATCTCTGTACAGAGTACAGTACATGATAATTTTTTTTAGCTAAATGTGACTGTTATTGTGAAATATAAAAGATGACTGAAGTAATTTCAATAACTTGAAATTGTTTTATAACCCAAATTTAATTAGAAAATTAACCAGTCTTTCAATATTATTACAGAGTGACCTAAAGTAACGAACCAATTATCACTGCTCAAAGCACAGATTCAAATAATGAAACAAATTCCAAGTTATGAAAGTTTTTAACATGAAACCTTAAAATTTACATAAAATGTGACACTGTAAATGTAGCCCTGCAATAAAGTCATTGATACAAATATATACAGACAGTACAATTCTTTCATTCAAATATAATTTCCATGAGCTTTAAATCTATAAAAATAGGACAGAGGACAGTCATGAGAAAATCACTTTTTTGCCAGGGTGGCATACAGAACTATTCACCTTCTTGAGGTACATGCAGCTATTATTTCAGTCACAAACAGTTCTTAGTTTATCTGTCTTGGTTTTAAGCTGTGCCACTTTTTAACAGTTCTCTAGGTATTTATCATTTCTGTGAATCATAAGAAGCTGATGCACACTATTGACACTATCACCATATATATAGAAAATAAACAACACACTAAACCAAGTAACCAGAAAGTGTTGAGATAAAGGGAGGTAATAAATCTACTGATAAGATATGAGTTATCTGACCATGATTATCATAACGGTCATAAACTATCTGTATTGACACATTTTCCACCCTGCCTCTTTTTGATGCCTCCCTGCCCCTTTTTCAAGTCTAGAATAATCACTAAGCACAGCTACCTAAAATATCTTATTGCCCAGGATTTGTTTACTAAAATGAAATCAGAGTGTCAATGAGAATGACATCTCTTTAACTGTCTCGTGATTTTTTAATTGTAAATATACAAATGTTGGGATATTTGTTGATTGAAACTGAAAATATGGTTCTAAATTTTCAAGTAAAACAGATGCTTTCATGCATTCACAATTTGTTTGAACTACATATAATTTTAATGAAAAATAAAACAAGACAAACATTTTGAATAACTAGGAATGTGTCCATAGGACACAGGTCCCCCCCCTACGCGCCACTGTTCTGTCAATCTTATGACTCTAGGTCAAATATTTATTGAAAACTAAAAATCTTTTACTAAGTAACGGGCAAGAACTTTACAAATACTGAATAAATTCACAAGTTAACCCCAAGGTGCATAAGTACACATGCTGACCAACATTCTTTTAAACATTCAGGCCTACAAGTGATATACTTTTTGAGCTATGCATGAACAAGTTGAAAATTGTAAATTATTCGATAAATTAAAGTGAACCTGTAGTAGCCACTCCTATATTGTCTTTCTTATTTATATTTTATCCCTGTAGGATATTAATTATGGAGTTAAATGATAAATTATTTATGTTTGGCTGAATGAAATGAAAGAAAACATAAATATTTTTTTAGCTATGCATGAACAAGTTAAAAATTGTAAATTTATACTACTGTAAGTCAAGGGCAATAACTCTAACAAAACTGAAAAAAATCCACATAAAAGTCCCAGGTTCATAGCTTCACAGTGATGTAAATCATTATTCCTGTAAAGTTGGTTGATTCTCACTCGAGCACTCAAGGAACAAATAACAACATAATGAAACGTTTTTTACTAAGTCAAGGGAAATAACTCTACAAATACTGGATAAATCCACAAGCCAAACCCCAGGTGCAAAACAAAATATGCTGAGCAACCTTCCCGTAAGGTTTAATGACTCTATGTCAAATCCTTTTTGAGTTACATGTGACACAAGTTGAAAACTGCAAAATTTTACCAAGTCAAGGGCAATAACTCTAAAAATCCTAAATAATTCCAGACGAAAATACCCAGATGCGCAACTACACATGCTGATCAACATTCCTGTAAAGTTTCATGACTCTAAGTCAAATACTTTTTGATTTACATGCGACACAAGTTGAAAATTGCAAAATTTTACTAAGTCAAGGGCCATAACTCTCAAAATAATAAATCCAGACGAAAATACCCAGGTGCACAACTACACATAATGTTCAACATTCCTGTAAAGTTTCATTGCTCTAGGTAAAATACTTCCTGAGTAGCATGCGACACAATTTGAAAATTGCAAAAATTCAATGGCAGTAACTCTGAAAATACTAAAAAATATTCAGATGAAAATACCAAGGTGAACAACTACACTTGCTGATCAACATTACAGTAAAGTTTCATGACTCTAGGTGAAATACGGACGGACGGACAAGGGTAAATTTAAATGCCCGCCCCCACTCCACTAAAGTGGGGGCACAAAAATAAATATTTTATCAGCCCACCTAACCTATCTAAACTGGAATGGGATGAGGGAGTAAATACAAAGATAATTTTAAGGCTTGCCTTGTTTGATTGAACAAGGATTTTATATAAAATGCCCCTATGTCATTGGTCTAATAAACTAGATTAGACTACAAACAATTCATGGACTAATAACAACTAGATCTCCGCGAGTCGGATGTGTTGCCTTGTTAAACAATATAGTTTAGGAGAAATGGCCAAGACAAAAATAAAATATGAAAATTAACACAGGGCAATAAAGTTAAAGCCACTAATAGCAAATAACAAGCAAAGCCAAAATTTAGACATTTAACCTTGAAGGTCAAGGTCAATTATGAATGAAGGCCAAGGTTAGACAATACACCAAGAACTTTAAAAGTTATGAACAAGGTTCAAGTTTGCAGAAGGCAACGGCAGCAACCTCTATTTCTTTTTTCAAAAAAAAAAAAAAAAAAAAAAAAAGCTGAGCTAAAGTGAATGACATAGTACATGTATATCAAAAGATATAATTGAATAATACTTTTAACTTTGTTACTACATTAAAGCTCATAGCAGCACTTATAGTTTAATAGATTGGATAATATTTTGCACTTGTATAAAAAGTAGTCATTTTTCTGACAAAATATTAAAAACAGACCTTGAGTCATGACAAATAAATCAAGAGAATTTTTTTCAAAACAAGATAGATACAGTGCCATATCTAAAAAGATATTTCATAAAACTATCATGAATACCAGGTGTTCAATGTCAGCTTAAATATGTTTGAATAGTTGGGCAATCAGTGTAATACACTATTTATCATTCTTTTCCATAAAAAGTCAATCATATCTTGATTTATGTTCCTCATGAATGGCTCAGGTAGGCTTCGGGCTAACTTGGGCCAAATATTTTGAAAGTCTGTGGGGGTCATCTTCCTCTAACTTTCTATTTTATATATCCCCTCCATGTCACTAATTCTCAGAGTTATAGCATCATGAAAATGGTATAATGATACTTTTTCTTCTTCTTTAATTCATCCAGACTCGTTGAAGTCTGAAATGAGAAATTAACAAGCCTGTTATAACAAAAATCATAAGTGTATACAATTCTCAAAATGCATTACATGTAATTATGTCCTCAAAATTTATTAGTCAGGTTATTCAGAGACTGCAAAATCTCTTTTGATTGAAATTAATATTATATAGGCAATATAAATGCATAGTGATCACACTTTCAATAAAAATATCTTATAATTCATAGAGGCAGGAACATTTAATACTAAGATATGCAGCATTTATATTCATATGCAAAAATGAAAAAACAAATGTTGAGAATCTATATGCCCAAAGAAGATAAAGCACAACATTTTATTTAGGTTTTGCCTCTTAATATGTTTGAAGAACTGAAATCTTTCTATTGAAATAAACAAAGAAACATGCTACATCCATATTAGACTCAGTACAGAGTACATCTATGTTGAACATTACTATAGTTCCAAACAATTCACTTTATTAACACAAACTGGACACTGTTTTCTTTCATTCTGTAAAATTGTGAAACATTACATGTTGGAGTTTTGTAAGTAGCATACCTAACAGATCCCCCTTGTTGGTGATGTGTGGTCTATTTGCATGTATATTATAATCTATAGCTGCAAGAAGATTGTGCATCCTATAAACAGGTGGTGTGTAAGCAAATCTTTTGGTACAATACATCAAGATGTGCTGGTGAAACCCCTCCATGCCAGCTGTACTTCTAAAAATGAATAAAAATAATGGAAAGATATTTTCATTTAAATGATTTTAGTAAGGAAAAATCCTTTAACATTAACATATTCATATGCTAGATATAATCTCTGTATGTAAATAATTATCTTTGAAAAGATTTTACACAGCTCTATCCTTCAATTGATAAGTGCAATAAAGGTGCCAATTAATTTATACATAATGGTTGTAGGTCCATTTGCGTTAACATATAAAGGTGCTGTAAACATTGAACATTCTATAATCAATAGACATATGAGCTTTGTATTAATCAGGACATATACTCCTTTCCAGTTAGGAAAATAAATCCTTTTAAAAATTTCACTCCAAACTGCTAGCATATCTTAACAAAGATAGACATATCTCCTTTGCAGAATTAATGGTTTCAACATTAGGGCCATTGGCTTCAACTTTTTTGATTGGCCAATCTGGTGGTGCAAACTAAAATTGCTCCAGGGGGAACCCTGTCAATATAAATCTCTTTTATTGTACCTGATGAGAACATACCTGCAGTTGAGATATTATGTCATCTTATTCAGAACACGAGCCAGATCTTTCAGACTATGTGCATCTTATTTCCTTTGCAGCCATGGTTTGTTCTGGTTTCTAATGGGCCATGATTGTACTAGGCATTGGTGTATTCCATCATCTGAAAACAAAATCCATTCATGCTCAATAACTATAAGATTGATGCAGACACTAAAAGATATTATTCCCTGAAATAAGATATCAAGACAAATAAGCATGCATTAAAAATGGCAAAGAAGTCAGCCTTCAACAAGTTTCATGAAACATTACTAAGCATTTCACATTTATTTTACATATAAAATGCTTACCATAAACCTATGAAGTATTCCACATTATGCATCAAAACATCTTGCATGCATTAATTTTCTTGCAACAAATGACAATTATGTATTGCTATCTAGAATTTTATCTAAATATTTCTTGAGCAACAGAATAATCATATAAAAATATCAAACATTCAAACAAAATCAAATATATAATAATTGTTTACTTACCATGAATAGTTTATAGTCTGTAGCAGTTTTATAACTAAACCAGAAATGAATGGTTGTGTCTCAATTCAACATCAAAAGGATTTTATTGGCTTTCTTTAGTGCTACCTGAAGATTAAACCATAACTTGCTTAAGATTTAGAAGAAAAAAAATCAATTGTGGAATTCCTTTTCATTTTAGCGAAAAATATTCTACATAAGAATTGTATATATTCAGTCTTCACTAACATTTACTATAGGACATGAATCTGCCCTTGTTATTAACAACAAATACAGCAGTATTGCATGCAGTGATAACACCAGTCTATTAAAAATTCTTAGTTTAAAAGGGATATAACTTAAAAAAATATTGCTTTCACAGTCATTGAATTTAAGATTTTGAATTCACTGGCCCCAATTCCCGTTTTGAATTTATTCTACTATATATTTAACTACATTTTCTTAAAATTTACACTGGCCCAAACTAATTTTCACTGGCCATGGGCCACCTGCCAGTGCTAAATTCAATGACTGCTTTCATAAGAACATGTATGCTCCCCTGTTTAACAATTACACTTTGTCCTGATAAGCAAGTCTTTCAAGTTTCATGTTGATACATTTCAAAATATTTAAATAATGCAATTGTATGCCAACATAGCAATCTGACATAGAATGTAATAGCTTTGAAAAAAAAAAAAAAAGCTAGACATTAGTAATTTATGATGTTTGATTGTAACTAAGAAAGTATACTCCACTTTTGAGGAATCTGTAACTATTTTGTTGTATGGTCTCAGAATTGACTATATAACAGAATCCTTTCCAAAAACCATATATGAGCCGCGTCACAACAAAACCAACATAGTGCGTTTGCGACCAGCATGGATCCAGACCAGCCTGCGCATCCGCGCAGTCTGATCAGGATCCATGCTGTTCGCTATCAGTTTCTCTACTTAAGTTATTGGGTTGTGTAAGCGAACAACATGGATTTCCTCGATTAGACTGCGCGGTTATGCGTGCAGGCTGGTCTGGTGTATATCCATGCTGGATCGCAAAAACCATTATGTTGGTTTTTCATGACGGTGGCTCATATATATTTTTTCACAAGTGGATTTAAGACCTACAGTTATATATGACCACTCTATTATTTTTTCACCTCAGTGAACAATTACCTATAATATTATGGAGTCATACAAATATCAAACTCATTTTAAGATGACACCAAAATCTTTCAATTGGACCAAAATTAACCATGTAATGCATGTTTTTTTTTTCTTCTTCTAATACAGTATTATATGCCACTTAAAAAATGTCATAATTGTTTAATATTTAAAAGTCATATGAATATCTGATCATGATATATATGGATCACATGTTGACATGTATATATCCATTAATTTGTTCAATAAACTAATAAAAAAAACATGAATTCAGCAGTATTTAAGATTTAATCAGTTTTTATATGAATTATATAAGTAAATTAGTTATGCAAGTATATTATGTTATATAGCAATTTTGAAATGTATTATTATAACCTGTCACTTTCGACAAAAATGGTGTACTTACTCTCCTCTGCATATGCACTGAAGTCCAGGTCATCTTTGATGTCCCTGGTAGTGGTATTGCAACACATGATGATGATGAAATTGACTTATTTCTGTAATTGAAAATATAGCATACTAGTACCATGGCCTAAAATCTTGACTACTCAAACCAATTACAATACATGAATTGCTGCACTGCTTATAAGGAAGAAGGGTTGTCAATAAGAATTATCTAACGATTCCAGCACAATTATGGTTATTGTCCATGATTTATTGAAATTTTACTGCAAAAATGATTCAAATGAGACAAAAATATTGATTTTTGTGCGATTTTCCAGACAACATTTTATTTTTTCTACTTTATTTCTTTGAAGATTCAACAACCCTGGATAGCAGATCAATATATCAGACTTACAGGCTTGTTATTGCTTAAATGTCGGTCAAGGTTGCCCAAAAGCAAAAATATCTCAAAATCAAAGGACGTCCCATTTATAGGACTACCCTTGATAGTTGAACATGCTTTGAAGAAATGCCTGTTCTGCTAGTCAATAGTTCTAACCCTTTTTGAGACACATGTGGCTAATCTATTTCACAGCATTGTAGTTACTATAGTACAGTACAGCTTACAGTAAAAAACAATAATGTGATTGGAAAATAAAATTTATTCAAAATATAATTTTGTTGTGTCTTAAATGATTCTTAAAAGATAGTGATTGGTCATCTTAAACGATATTACAATGGTTACAATGAACATACGCCATAAAATTGTAAAGGATTAGGCTCAGCCGATCTTTTATTTAACCTGTTATTGTTAACAATTTATTGGTACGAAAATTACAGTGAACGAAAACTTGATACACAGACGTGGCCACGCGTGGATCGCGAAGCTTAATTTCTTTATCATAAGTCAAAACCATCGTAAAAACTATAACACAATATCTGTGTTTATATATTCGTAGGTTAATTTTTTCTATAAGTAGATCTAAGACCAAGAAAAAATTAAATGCAAACAAAAACGACGATCACCTTAGTTCTGGCTTCCAAAACTTTATAAGCCGCTTTTTAACATTTTTGTTTTTCATCTGATGCGGCATTAAAGTTTTGGATTAGACCCGTTACGAAACCTAACCAGAATAACATAAGTTGATTTATTCTTGTTTTTCACTTGCAAATACACTTGACCCAATCAATTCTTGTGCATTTTACGATAAAACAATCATTTTAATATCATTCTATACCAATTAAAGTATCAAAATGTTACTACCGTCATTAAAATTGCCTATTTAACATTAAAATATCAATTTACGCCGACTACAGTTGGCCATGACATTCAGGTGCCACGCGAGATCTCGTATGACGTCATTCGCGGGAACAGATTTGAATAGAGTCGCGTACTATATTTAGAACATTTTGTTGACATGATTTCGATACTTTTATTCAAGATAATGTTTTTATTTATTTTCATTAATTTTTTAGTACTTAAATACGATTGTATTGAATATAAAAGTCAGTAAATCACCTTTTTCAATATCTTTAAAAAAAGTAATTTATAAAAATATTGGAGGCACATGGGTTCGTAAAGGTCAATCCCGTAATCACGTGATCAAACATTTTGGCAATATGGCGGCCAAGTGCCGAAAATTTTACCTGTCGGAAACTATTAGGTAGTTTATGTTCGTAATAAGATTTTTATTTGTCCATCCTCGGCTTATCAACAGATTATATATAGTTTTATCAAGGTATGCTTCACTTTATTTCATGGCATGTTCGATGAATAAATACGAGCGTGTCAGATTCCTGGCACGATTATTGGTGGACTTTCCCTATGGGGTTATCTTCAGCGTTCACGTCATGTCATAGTATATAAACGGGTACGCTGAAGACCTTAAGCTACGATCACCTCACCTGTCAATCAGATAACAACTTCACGGTCGCTTTTGGTTTTAATTACCCTTTTTAGAACTTTTCATCGCTTTGAATCACTACCGGAGTATATCCTTGATTGAATTAAATCACAGTTTCTTCCCACTTTTCGCTTTTTCCTTTTCCAATCTCAAAATTTATTTCTCGTATACGTGACACACCTTTCGTATTGTCCGCCATTATTTTGGTTTGGTAAATCATATCACGTGACTCAGATCCGAACATTTACGGAAATAATCGAAGGGCTTCCCGCCAAAATATAAATCTTATTTGACTAACCCAGTCAAATAAGAAAATGCATTTTTTAGAATGGTCAGAAATGTTACGGAGGACGTTTCTAAGTTGGAAAACTTTGTCAATACTAGTTAAATAATGCATTTGATAACAATAAGGCGTTAATTTGACAATCTGTTTTGATGAATTTGACCAGGAATATAACTTTAAATAAAAAGGTTATTTTTTCGTTTTTCGTGAAATATGGTATAAATTTTCACTCAACATGATAAAATGCCACATATTTTCACTCGCCGTCCCGGCTCGTGAAAATATGTGGCATGATATCAAGTTTCCTGAAAAGATATTCCATATTTCACTCAAATGAAAAAATCCTCACGAATTCGAAAACCTAGCTAAACGCCGTTTTCCGGTACTTTCTGTACGGTACCACTAAAATACGCAACGGAGATTTTTTGGCGCAACGGGCGCAACGGAGATATTTTTTTAGAAAAACCGACACAACGCCTTTTTTTAAGTCAATGTGCTATATTTAAGCATCTAAAATGATTGTTTAGCACTATTAAGTAAGTATTTTTAAAATGTTTCATAAATTGTATATGTTTAATTGCACTAAAGGATTATATGCCTGGCGAAATGGAAATTTAATGGCGCAACGGAGATATTTTTTTTAGATATAGATTTTACAATCTGTTTCATTTTTTCCCCGTTCAATTCGTTATTTTTACGAAAAGTACTGTAATAGTTTTTCTATACATATTTTTAATTGAATTTGCATTAGTATATACTAAATAAAGTAATATGTTGATATTACAGAATCAATGTTCAGTACTTTTTTTATTATAAACATTCATTGTATTTTTGTTATACCTTTCATAAACTCCGTTGCGCCGATGGATTAATTATTGGGAAACGGAGATTTTATTTTCAAAACTGTGTACTGTTTTTTATGTCTAAAACATAAAATAATCATATAAGTTGGTATTGTTGATATTTTATACATATTTTTTGACATAAACTGTAAAAGTTTGATTTTATTAGGTAGAATACTGAATATATCAGATTCTAAATCGACGGCGAAATGGACATAATTTCGGCGCAACGGAAAATGAAGATTTGCGCATAACGGGAGATCTTATGTTGAACATAACTTATGAATTTGAGAATAATATGTAACAGTCTTTTAAAAATGATTTGTACTTTCCTTTATTTTAAAAAAAATGTTTGAAAATAGCGGTTATTGTTTAAAAGATATTTAAGATTACGGCGCAATGGACACATTTCGGCGCAACGGGGATTATCAAACAGTTTTATCATATTATATTATTTTATTAATTTATTAATCTTTCATTAATCATTGTGTGTACCTTTTCAATAATTTGTTTGTTGCGTATACCTTGTATATTTCATCAAAAGCAATCCAAATATTTCATAATTATGATATTGACAAACGGTAATCAATTATGCGAGAATTGTAAGCAATTAGCAACGTATCGTGCACGTGTATGGCACGGGTGTTAAATGTTTTTAACACTTGACCGTTATGAGTGGCGGATTCAGGCTCCAAAATGTTTTATTACGTCTCACATTTCATATACACAATTTTTCTCATAGTTTGAGTGAAATATTGGCATAATAAGCTTCAAAAGCAATATTTTCGACAATAATAAGTTATAAAAAAATATTTAATACCTTAAAGTCAATACATGTTCCTCTTAATCACATTATCTAGTAGGAGCAGTAGTCCAGTGGTGGGACGCGCGCTTAGGATCGAGAGGTCCCGGGTTCGACCCCCACCAGGGCACTGCTAATTTCCTTGAGCAAGAAATTTACCTGCGATTGCTTCACTTCACCCAGGGTTGTAAATGGGTACCTGCGAGGGTGGGTATAACTTCCGTTGAGCCAAGTGTCGGCTGCACTAAGCGGAGTTAAAAGACTCCCCAGGGAGATGATAGATAGATACCAGTAGCCCCGATGACCAGGGGTAATAGCTGTAAAGTCGGTGAACGTGCGTAAGCATGAAACTTAGACTATAAAATAAAATGCAATGCAATCTAAATGGTGTGAAAACGCTTGTCCAATAAACATCAACCACGTGTCATTGGTAATTTAATTATCGGTTCTTAACACCCGTGATAAACATTCTGCCAATCACCAAATTGCAGTTGTTTCGCTAAATAAACAGTAGCTGCATTTGATTAACGGGGTTTTCTGATTGGGGAAGGAATTGTTATAAGTAACGTTCAATTTAATTATTTTATGTTTTAAAATGGAAATTCTTCATGCATGTCGTTTTACTATTTTAATAATTACATCAAACAATAAATATTTTGTATAGTTACTATTTTTAATTTAAAAATGCATACAATATTTCAATCATTCGAATATCAGCCATGACGAAAATAATCGTATTTCTTTGTGCAGCAGTAAAGCCATTAATTAGCGTTTTGTTGAAATTTGGTTATTTATTGTTAAGATTACATTAGAAAGTCCACAGCGTATGCTGTACGGACTTTTCGTGTTCTTCAAGTAAAATTCTGAAAATTATGTATAGAAAAGCTATTACAGTACAGAATTGAACGGGGGAAAAAGAAAAAAATGAAACACTGATTGTAAAATCCATACATGTATTTCAGTGTCAGCCATAACGATAAAACGTATTTAATTCCATTTTTAAATTAATAAAACAGACATTTATTACACCACTTCAGTAATTCAGTTAATATCTTTCATGATACTTCTTCGTATTACTACTTAATTCGGACAAACATTGATTCCGTTGCGCCAAAAAAATAAAATAAAAATCTCCGTTGCGCAGACAAAATGTCCATTTCGCCGGCACACAATCCTTTACAACATCAACATTGCAGCTCTTTGATTATTTGATATACGATAAAGGTTTTAAAATTATTTTTTTTTAATTTATTTATTCAAATAACATTGGTGTTAATTAATTGCATATATTAGTACAAACGTTGTGCCGATTTTCCCAAATTATCTCCGTTGCGCCATGAAATTTCCATTTCGCCAGGCATATATCCTTCAGTGAAAAATTCACCTAATGGAGTGTAATAGCGAACTCGATGTTTTTCCGCGCCTTTTTAAAAAATAAATTGAAAATAAACCAGTTATTTCTTGATAAAGAAAAATAAGTTAAATATCATTGGCATGAATAATTCCATACAAAAAAATAAAGTAAATACACAAGTTGTACCGCCGAAAATAACCTTAATGTTATTATGGAAGATGTCCACTACGTTCGGTTTAAAATTTTATTGATTTTCATTTTAAACACTTTATTTTTTTGAATAATGCAATCCAGATATTAAAGGAATATTGATAATTTTCAATAACCATTCAAATTCTTTCTCACCTTAAAACGGTAAAATAATTGAAAGAGAAAAGATAGAAATATTCATGTAACTGTGTTAATGTTCTTTCATTGTTGGTGTAATTCCCGCAGGAGCTTAAATCGCCGTAATGTACGGAAAAACGGTTGTTTAGCTAGGGTTTTCGAAAAGGTCATATCTACAAATTAGTATGTAACTAATACTATTTAAAAATAAAAACATTATATATACATGCTATATGAAAAAAAAAAAAAAAAATTATTGAATGAAAAATAAAGGATAAGCATAATGAGCAGTGAGTTTAGGTTTTTTAGCTCACCTGTCACAAAATGACAGGGTGAGCTTTTGTGATCGCTTTTCGTCCGGCGTCCGTCCGTCGTCCATCGTCCGTAAACTTTTACTTTAAATGACATCTCCTCATAAACCGCTGAGCCAATTTCATCCAAACTTCACAGGAATGTTCCTTTGGTGGTCACCTTTAAAAATTGTTCAAAGAATTAAATTCCATGCAGAACTCTGGTTGCCATGGCAACCGATAGAAAAAACTTAAAATATCTTCTATTAAAAGACCCAAAGAGGTAGAGCTTAGATATTTGGCATGAAACATCTTCTAGTGAGTGTCTATCAAGTTTGTTCAAATAAAAGCCCTGGGGTCAAAATTGGCCCCGCCCCAGGGGTCATTGTTTTTCCCTATATGCATATAGTAAAAACTTAAAATATCTTCTTTTAAAGAACCCAAAGAGCTAGAGCTAAGATATTTAGCATGAAACATGTTCTAATGGGTGTCTACCAAATTTGTTCAAATAAGAGCCCTGGGGTCAAAATTGGCCCTGCCCCGGGGGTCATTGATTTTATCTATGTGTATAGCAAAAAAATTAAAAAATCTTCTTTGAAAAAAACCCAAATAGCTAGAGTTAAGATATTAAGCATGAAACATCTTCCAGTTAGTGTCTTCAATAGTTTGTTCAATAAAAGCCCTAGGGTCAAAATTGGCCCTGCCCTGGGGAATTGATTTTCCTTATAAGTGTATAGCAAAAACTTAAAATCTTCTTTTGAAAAAAAAACCAATAGCTAGAGTTTAGATATTAAGCATGAAACATCTTCTAGTGAGTGTCTTCAAAGTTTGTTTTAAAAAAGGCCCTGGGGGCTAAACTGGCCTTGCCCTAGGGGTGTCATTGCTTTGAACTATATGTGTATAGTTAAAACTTAAAAAATCATTTTTTTAAAAACTCAACGAGCTAGACCTTAGATGTTTAGCATGAAACATCTTGTAATGGGTGTCTACCAAGTTTGTTCAAATAAAAGCCCTGGGGTTTAAACTGGCCCCACTCTGGGGGCCTATATACAGGTGAGCGACTTTAGGGCCATCATGGCCCTCTTGTTTAACTGAATCATGTATATTGTAGTAATTTACATATTCTAGCCTATACCCATTTTCTTCTATCAACCGCTTGTAAATATTCGTTTTAAAAGGCAAATATAATAAAAGAAAATCCAGGAACTAAATGTATTTGTTTCAATTTTAAAATGAATTACCCAATATTTGTCTCTGTGTTAAATTGAGGTGATTAAATGAAAAGTATTACTTTTTATTGTCCAAGTAGTGTCGTATTAATAATTTACATGAATTTCTTATCTTATGTGCTTATCTTGATTTACAGTGTAATGACATATATAGTATGTAGGTTATATACTATATATAAATTTAGGTGACAATAGAACAAATCAGAGAATAGTTTATATATCAACCTTTAACCATTGAATCCAGACTTGGTGTTTAACTATTTGTACTAAATAAGTATTTAAGTTTTCCTTTACAGATACTAAAATGAACCGTGAGTATTTTTCTACCACTTTCGTAGTTTCAGAAAATGAAAAACACACTTCGGAACTTCCAACAGAATTTACACAGAGATACCATTTTATAACATTCAATTTATTATAAATGGTTTAAGACAAAAAAAATAACATAAAGATCTTTGTGAAGTTTAAAGCGTTGACAGTAAGTATTTGATGATATAGTCAAAGTGTATAAACTGTATTATGATGTAATATAACATTGATTATCAAACTTTGTCAATCCTAGATAAAAGTAAATCCGCTACCTTTGTAGATGTTAAGAAGCATATTATATATCGTTTGATACTGCATATCCCATTGAAGCTGTCTGACAGAGTAAGATAAATAGCTCTAAACAACTTTAAATATATTTATAAAATGCTTATCTGGTTCTATCATTTGTTCTTAAGTTGGTGGCAAGGTGTTTAAACAAAAACTAAACTAACGGAATAAAGAAAAAGAAATTTAGCCCCGAAAGGAAACTTTAAAAGCGTAATATTTTGTTTTATGTCTTGTTCGAGATTATCTTCATGAAAATCATAAGATGTGCATGATTGACATCAGTCGTTCTTATTTCAAGCTAATTTTGTCCGGTTTTTTGTTGTTATTTGTTGTAACGGTGTTTCCAAAATATATTCTATTTTAGAACTACAAACTTTTTCAGATCCACCCTCAGTTTTAATCAGAGCTGCATCAGTACTAAGGGTGTAATACTTAAGAACCAGTACCAGTACTTGGCAAATTATGCAGTACCATTACCAGTACCAGTACTAGATTTTAGCTCGGTACTGCAGTAGCAGTACTTTTTTGGGGGAAGTAATTAAGTATCAGTACCATTACTTTTATAAATTCATCAAAGTTTGAATAAATACACAGCGTCAAACAAATAATTGCAAATTTTACTCAACAAAGAAATAAAATCATAATTTACTTTAAAGTTAGCATAACATTTTTACAACTTTATTGTTTTAACATACTTTTTACAAATAATATTTACAACATTCATTCATGTCATATCTTATTGTTTAGTAACCAGTCAACTGTAATACAATGCAATCATCTTTCCTAATTAAAAACAAAACAGTTCACACCTTATTTAGAATAGAAGCATAATTGCTTCTAGTTTTGTTGTTTAACTAGTAAATGCAAAGTAATAAAAGATTTTTAATACGGATATTTTAGGGTAAAGAGTTATTGAGTCTGTTTATCTCAATTTAAATTTTACTTAAAGTCTTTGGTGCTTTTCATGATGAATACTATGTTAACATTTGAAGGAATATTGCAGCAAATTATCTATAGATTTGATAACTTACTTTTTCACAAAAATAAAATAATGTAATTTACAGCTTTATTTTATGAGAAAAATTGATGCTATTTTTATCAAAACAAAAAGTACTGCATTGTAATGCAGTAGCAGTACCACTTTTTAAGACAGTAATGCATTACCAGTACCAGTAGTAGCAAAATTTTGTAAGAGTAATTCAGTATCAGAACCAGTAGTACTTGTCAAATCACTGCAGTACTTACTGCAGTACCAGTAGCAGTAATGCAGCTCTGGTTTTAATCTGTTTAAAATGATCAATGTTTTTCAAGGAATTATTTGTATGTTTAAAAAATTAAACAAGGGCTGACACAAGGCGGGTAAACAAGTAATATCACGTGACGACGTGACTACAAGTGAGATCCGAACACTGAGACCTCCACCCCTGAAGGACAAAGGTGCTAGTCGCATTGGTTTGTAATCTTGTTTTATCCGTTATTCATGGAATATTTATCCATATATTAAAAAAATAAAGAAATTGAGATGATTTTCTGTTATATTGTTTTATAGGTTATAACAACAGTGAACATTTTAGGCTACATCAATGCAACTAGCACCTTTGTTTAATGCAAGTAAACGGGTAAACTTGGGAGAAAAGTTTTGTATTTCAATAGTCATAGGCCTCACATTGGTAAATACCATTTGTTTAATGTTTTGTAGTTTTCGAAAACGCAACCATAATTGTTGAAGCGTTTAGTGAACGGCCAACGTACATGTACACACTATCGCTAAAATATAGCGATCGTACAAACTTTTATCGCCAAACTTATGCTATCCCGTTTCAGATCCCCTGTTTCAGACATATATTATTCTTTTCAAAATTATAAAATATGGTTGATGGATAACGTTTTGTGCCTGATTTATAAAGAGGTCATAAGTAGAAAATATTTTAATATAACGTTTTTCATCATATTCGTTCATGTGAAGTAAGGTTATTGTCAATGATTCCATTATTATTAATTAATATTGTTGTTGTTGTTGTTCATAAAATCGAATTAAATCAGGAATAAACATATTTTAAATATTGACTTTTTATTTGTTACTGCTTATTGTGAGGTATCGCCGAAAGCAAATCACGGTGTTCGTTCGCATTTGTGGTCACGTGATATTTCGTTTTCTTATTCCAGAATTAATTATCGTGTTTTGGGCTTGTTTGAATGTGTATGTCACTATTGGACAGGGTAAGTTAATGCCATTTATTAAGAGATTCCATTGATGCAAGTAGACTCGCCATTATATAATTGTAATCATTTCTCGTTAACCATGTAATAATTAACACATTTACTTCGAATGAAAAGATGATGCAAATTGTCTTTGCAATATATATGATACAGTCGCAATCTCCCATGCAGTGATTCTGTTTCTCAGAAATAAAAAAAAACAAAACGACGTAAGATAAAAGAAAAGTGTATTATTACTTGATGAAAAAAGATGAGAAAAAACATTGTGTAGCTGTAGCACAATTTATCTTTTCACACTGTTTGTCCTTCAGAGACTCTCGGACCTATTTGTTATTCTTGCGATCGGACGGATAATCCCGAACAATGCCGAAATTCTAAAACTTGCTCGGTCGATCAGGTAAATATTACATTTATGTTTTACGCATAATTCTGAATTGACGACATTGACACTTAAAACGTGCTGGAAAAGTTAAATAACTAGTTTCAAAGCGCTTAATTATTAGGTACTCACGTCAAAATGTAAAGTATGCATATTGATCGGACACGGCCCTAAGTCAATGGTACATGTATATATACATGCACGTATAGTGCAGATTGGTCTAAACAGTATATATTTTATTGGAAAAATACCGACTTTGAACACATCTCCAATAATAAATAAAATTAATGTATTCGTATTAAAGTCACGAATTTTAATTATGAATTCATGTTTATCCGGTAAAATCTCACAAATTCACTGTAAGTCATGTAATTCAACACCTAATTAATGTTACTAATAAACTTACAGCCTTTCCGCAATGCGATCTTCAAAAATATATTATTATTGGATCCAAACTTAACAGTTTAGCCTCGTTTTCATTTTCCAAGTAAAAAATCTATATCAATTGCATATGGTAAAAGTTCTAGCTTTGTTTTAATTTTACGATTCCAAACATCAATATTGTCTCCAAAAACTTCATATCAAATCCATATATTATAAGTAAGAAACAAATTTCTGCGAAAATTTTAGAGGATTGCATGGTAGTGTGAAGTAAATACGTCATTATACATTGTTTAGTACATACTGATGTTATTGGACTCGCACGTTTAGAAGCTGTATTCGCGTCTAACAGAACTCATAAATGTCTGCATTTCAGAAAGTCCGTTTTTAGGTATGCAATTTCGATTTAAACTTGATAAAAAACAAACCTTTAAAATGCCATGTTTGTTTGTTCTAAGATATTTACAAATGAATATTAAGTATACCTTTGTCAGTGATAAAAGGAAGGTTATGCTTATCAAAAATCAGCATTAAGTGTTCATGTATTTATACGAGTCCCATCTTATAGCTCCTTTTGGAAATGGCGGTGTCTGTATTTTAGCTGGGACCAAAAATATACATTATATATAATATTCAATCTGACTAAAGTTCAGATCTACTTATTTCTTTTATGTAGATATGATGACGACCATATCTTTACATTTCGGATATTTGTGAGAGAAAAAAACAAACAAACAAATGTTTGAAGTAATTTTGACAAATTGGCATGAAATAATCAGTGTGGCAATACCACGTGACATTTACGTCATTTTTGGCATCATTTCCAAGACAAATATTGCTCGATTCGGAAAAGAAAATAGCCGTAAATATTTTATTTATGTACCAATATCTTTGGGATATGCATCAGTCTACGGGGAAAATATAAGCTTTCCACAGAATATAAGATCTTTGTCAGTTTATAAGCCGTTTTATCAAACACTTTGCATAACCTTGGAAGTTGCTTGTATTAGAGCGGGCTTCGGTTGCAAGCTATTTCGTTTTCTTGCGTTATTTGGTCTACGCCATGATTAATAGGTCAGGTTTACATCAACCGGGGGTACAGACAGCAAAATCCTACCTTAATATGTTTATGTGTTTATTATTTATGGCGTAAATCTTGCCATTTTCTTCAATTGTCAATTCTGGCACCAGTTCCAAGTCGAAAAAAGGGACTGCAGTTTAAAGCAGATTTTAGAATCTGTTGCAAATGCAAAGCAACATGCCTACCGTTCTCTTTCTACAATTTACTGTTTCATTGTTGATCTTTTTCACAAAGAGATTGTGAAAAAAACTGATTGTTCCTTAAAGCAAATAACACTTACTTGTATCGCAATAGTAGACCGAAAAATAATATTTTGGTTTCGTTTTGAAGATGTTTCAAGTATTGCTCATCTTATCCTATGTAGTAAAATGTGATTTATTCTATTTCACAATGGCGAAATTGATAAGAGATAAATGTGCTCCAAGTGAGAGTTAAAATAAAACAATGCTACAGAAAGGGTTACACTATAACGCGAGTGTTGTAAAAAGGCTTAAGGTAATTTTTTCAGTTTATTTTTTGTAAAGAGTAACTGACAAACACTGACACTCGTGAAGGTGACGAATAGGTTCTTCTGTCTTCAAAAGAGAGACTTTGAAAAGGTATATATTTTTCTGGAATTGCCGTATTATAAATTTCTATAAAGTTTGATAAACAAAAATCACAATTTAGAATTAGAATCCTGAATCTAATTGTCACGCGCATTAACATGACGTTCACATTTTATGCTTATTTAACTATAAGCATATTCATCATCAGTCAGATTTTGTTCTTTGTGTAGAACAATTTTAAATAGCATTACATATAACTTGGAACTTTACGTGTAAACCTGATAGTATTGTTACTTAGTTGCGTTACTTATGATTCTCTATTTATCAAAAAGGCCCAAAATAGCCCTGAGTCGCCAATAAAAAAATGAGAATGGACGCCATGTGGAAACAAAGTAGGAAATAGTAAACAGATAAATGATTTTACAGCCATCGATCAAAGTGAAATTTCTTGAAACAAAACATTCTAAAAGTCGGACATAACAATGATTATCAATAATTATATAAATATTTACATTAACATATATGTAATAGCAACACGACTGGGGTCCATATATGACACTGATGCGTCCATTGAATTATTGATAGCTAACATAAGCTAAGTAAAATTACGATTACATTTGAAGAGTATATTCAATTTTTATTCTTCAACTGTCAAATTACTTACTTCTTTATTTCACATATCAGATAATTCATTTATTTGGCATATGCATTATGTTTATCATGTTTTAGATTTAAATCTTAAAATGCAACAAAAATCCTGTTAAGGACATCTGCAGGTCATGCCGCGTGCAAATATCCATGCATTTACATCCAATGACCACATAAGAAATAGTCCCAAATAGCCCTATCGTTTTTATTCAGTTGGAAGAGACATTATTGTTAAAAATTCTACTCGATACCATAAATATTCCGTTCCCTTCCTCTCTTTACAATGTGTATTGGTGAGCTCTCTGATAAAGCTCGATTGACTGATATAATTAACTAAATTTGTCAGATATGTAGTTTATCATCAGAAGTAAATGCAATAATAAAATAAATAGTGTTTAGTGTTCTTAAGTGAACGAAGTTATATCCAGTTCACGAAAAACGGTTACCGTGGGTATGAAAACAGGATGTAAAATATTTTTTATCAACGAGTGCCACAGTATTAAAAAAGCTGAATCTATTATACTTAAACATTGCTAGAGGTTTTATAACATTATGGTTATACGTATAAATAACTCTTTACAAAAGAATACCCTTAGACTTTGAAATTGCCGCGTTGAGGCATAACGCTTTACAGCATAAAAATGGAAGTGATCCTGAATGTGCACGTTCATTGGACATTCTAGCTAAAGTCAATTTTGCCGTTTTTGGGTTTCTGTTTTCTCTCAATTTTGAATACGTTTTAGTATTGCTACATGACACATATAGATTTTTCATAATCATTACCGTGAAAGAACAATGATTAAAGAGCAAATCAATTTCTTTACAAATACACATGTACAGACAACAATTTTACGACTTTTAAAATCACTTATAGCGCAGCAAGTAAAAATCTTTTAAATATTCATTTGTGTTTATGTAAATCGTACAGTAAATAACAAATATTTTTATGGTTAACATAATTATATAGAGAGAGAGAGAGCGGTAGGCATGTTGCTTCGCATTTGCAACAGATTCTAAAATCTGCTTTAAACTGTAGTCCCTTTTTTCGACTTGGAACTGGTGCCAGAATTGACAATTGAAGAAAATGGCAAGATTTACGCCATAAATAATAACCAAATAAACATATTAAGGTAGGATTTTGCTGTCTGTACCCCCGGTTGATGTAAACCTGACCTATTAATCATGGCGTAGACCAAATAACGCAAGAAAACGAAATAGCTTGCAACCGAAGCCCGCTCTAATACAAGCAACTTCCAAGGTTATGCAAAGTGTTTGATAAAACGGCTTATAAACTGACGAAGATCCAATATTCTGTGGAAAGCTTATATTTTTCCCCGTAGACTGGTGCATATCCCAAAGATATTGATACAGAAATAAAATATTTACGGCTATTTCTTTTCCGAATCGAGCAATATTTGTCTTGGAAATGATGCCAAAAATGACGTCAATGTCACGTGGTATGGCCACACTGATAATAGTCCATTTGTAATGGGCAATATTGTTTTGCCAGTTTACTTGTCGGCTATATGGACAACACCATGAAAATTTGTTCTCGAAATCGTGAAAATCATGAAAATTAAAATAATCAGTATTGGTTTTCCCAGGGTTAAATTAAGAAACCACAGCACTTTCAAAATTATGTAAGCTCGCCGATGATTGGCTGTGTGAAAGGTCACCAGAAATGACAACGGATTTGGTCACGGTCAGATCTAAAAGCGGAGCGTTATTTAGAGCTGCATGGCTTTAATCAGATTGATATAATATTTTTTGTCCCAAATTTTAGGTGTGCATAGTCAATGTGTATTTCAGATATGCAGTGTCCAGGTTTCAGTTATTTACAAGTTTGTATTTTTGTTATGCAGTTTCCAGATATTAATGAGATGCAATGTACATGTATATATTTACATATGCAGTATCCGGATCTGTTTTAAAGTTTATTTTTTAGGTATGCAGTGTCCAGGAAGTGTCAGCTCCACACGGTGACGTCTACTTTTGGTCTGGCTGCGAAGATCTAGATGTACTTTTAAGACTTTTTTATGATATATATGCGTATATAAAGATATCATGTAATCAATTATGTATTATATTAATATTAAGATAAACATTAATTATATGATTGGAAAGCTAGTTCTTTAATAGAATCGAAAGAAAATTTAAATTTCTTTTCATTAACAGTACTCCCTCTTCTAACACAAATGGTTCGTACGCACGTTTCATTGTGCGTACTGCCACTTTTATTGTTTATAAATTAAATGAATGCTACAAATTTTTCTAATTTGATTATTGCTCAATATATACTGTCCCATTGCTTTATATGACTCTTATACACTGTTTATTTCAGATTTGTGAAGATCTTTCCTATACTGGAACATTAAATCAGATTCTAGGCAAACGACAGGTGTCCAGCCAACAGTCGCGCTGTGTTTATTGCTGTAATACCGACTTGTGTAACAAAAATTGCACTTGTGCGTTCGCATTAGTATTCAATTGGTATTCATATTATTTCCGCAATATTCTTGTGTGTGTGTGTGTGTGTGTGTGTGCGTGTGCGTGTGCGTGCGTCTGCGTGTGCGTTTTCCAGAGAGTTTTACTATTTGAGTTTAGCATGCAGTGTAATTATTCACAAATATTTTAAATATGGCATGAATTAACTCTTTGAAATCTGCTGACTGATATCTATCTATTTTGACTGACTTATTAATCTGCCATTTCTGGATCATTTCACTTTTTTTTAATTGTAACTATCAATTTATTACATTATTTCAGCATTTGTTAACTTAGCCCTTCACAAACCTGCGTTTGAGAGTTCAGTTTATGTGGGAGTATACGGTAACCCTGAGCTTGCTGTTGATGGTGATACAACAAAGAACTATTACAAAGGTTCCTGCATGCATACTCAAAACATGCACTATCCGTGGTGGGCGGTAGACTTACAAAATGATTACAGAATTACTAAGGTTAAATTGTTCGAGAGGGGTGATGCCGCTGATGGTTAGTTGAATATATTTAGAATACTCGAAAAAAATCTATTTATACGGCACGAAACTTCTTAATGATTTTTAAACTGTTGGATTTGTATCAGACGTGCATGGTATTATTTTTGTTCGTACATTGCCAAAAAGAATTAATTAACACACATAGATTAGCCATATATGTGACAACAGTATCGCCGAATTTGGATATATCTTTTGTTTAATTAAGGATTTTTTTGTCTGAATAACATATATTTTTTAAGGTGGTCATCTTTTACAATTATTTATTTATTCTTTTATTATTATTATTATTATTTATTTTTTTTAATTTTGGTTTTTGACACATTTATGATGAACACAGGGTTTTTTATCAATCTGGTCATATTTTTTCTTCCCAGGTCCAAAACTCGTGCCTGTGATAACAGTTGCAAAAAAGTCCTTCGGCTTTCATTTAAATCCAGGATTAATCGAACAAGTACTGCTCGAGCACTCAAAACATATTTTCAATTCATTCATGTACTAAATCTTTGAAACTATAATACATGTAATTCGATTCCTCTCAGTCTCTCAGTATCATTTTATTGTTTAATTATATAGGAAGTTATGGTGGCTGATTTGGTATATTGCGCGTTGCGTTATCGCCTTTCGTCTTGTCGCTAGCGACAACACGACAAAGCGCCAAACGGCGCGTTGTCGTCCTGTCTATAGCGAAGCACGCAAAACGGCGCGTTGTCGTGCGGCGCGATGTCGCCTTGTCGCTTGGCTTATAAAACAATCCTTCGATGACAATGTGACATCGCGATAACACGCTACACGACAACGCGCCGTTTGGCGTACATCGTTAGCTACAGGACGGCAAGACGAAAGTCCGACAACGCGCCGTTTGGCGCTTTGTCCTGTTGTCGCTAGCGCCAACACGACGCATTAAAGTGTTTTGGTTCAGCCACCATATGAAGTACATTACATGTTTCCTTTTACAATTAAGATCGTTTTTAATTAAATCTTTATTTTATCATATATCTTCCCACTTTTATTTCCAGGTCGTTCCTTCCATCTTACAATTTTGGTAAGCTCGTATAACGCAACAACGTTAGATAAAGATTCCCCTATGTTCACAAAATGTGGCTATTATTACGGCCATTCCAGCGACGGAAACGTCATTACAATCGATTGTCCAAGAAATACGCACGGGCGATGGGTCCGTGTTCAACAGAGTGATCCGCACAATGAATATCTGCATCTTTGTGAAGTTGAAGTGTACGGTTTCTAGAGGCATATAATGTGAAGAAAAGAGTTAAAAATAAATAAAAAGTAAATAAAGAATATATTCATTTGTCCTTTTTGTTTTGCGATAAACAGATGACATAAGTGCGTGATCTTATTTTGGCGATTTAGATAAATTGTTGTCATGTTGAAACAGTATCCTTTGTATACATGTACCCTTGTCTCGTTTCCCTGGAGTGTTATGAATGTTCGCATAGATCGGCCACATATAGCCAGAAGATTTCCAGCACCTTAGGCGTAACAACTTCAGTACATACCTAACATGTACTTTGCATCTCAACGGTAGACAGTCGGCACAGCCCTTTTTTATATTCTCAAAGGTTTATGTGCGTTCTAGGCGGTTTCATTGGCCCATGTACTGTGACTAACTTTTCGGCTCAAAGCAAAAGCTTCCTAGGTAGTCATTCAAAATGATTTTAAGGGGATGATCGGCATTGACATGTTCGGGGATCCGTACGTAATAGATTAATGATTTTAGCTCTTGAAAAGTGAATTGGCCCTTACATACTGTACAAATGCAAATGTGCATACATGTATATCTGTAAATATGCAAAATGCATATGTTTATCTATATATGAGTAGGTCTTCAGTTCAGGAGTAATATTACTAATGGCCTTTCGGAATATTTAAATTCAATCTATCAGAGCCATCTTTGCGGGGCTTGAACGTCGCAGGTCAATGTCAAATTATTATTTGTAACACGGTGATTGCTTGACCTGGCGTAACTTATCGGCAGGGTATGATCCTACAGAGAGTTGCCTGAAAAACAAATGAAGTCTTGGATTATAAACCCTCCTGATAGATGTTCGGGACTAGTGCCCGGATTGAATGACAGCTTGGCAAGACGCTGATGATGGTTTACAGAAAGAGGACGACAAGTCGCAAATATTCTCCACCATAATTATGGGTTCGTTCCAGTGGCAAGTATAAAAAAGCCCTGATAATCTTTAAAATCAGAGGTCTGCACGAGGCACGTACCGGTGAAAGAACCGGTGTCGCCTCTGGAACTGGACAAAATCCTTATTGTATTTGTGCATTGCATAGAATAATAACACTTTATTAGCAGGCAACCGGAATGCGACAGTATATAAACAATAAAATGCCAATACAGTATTCTATCTAGTTTGAGGGTTGTTAACTGGTAAAGAGCAATTAATATGTTGGTCAAACGAAGCAACAAGTGTCTAAACGCATGAATTATAGCCGTAGGTTTGATATCAACAATTTTCCCGATCCTTTATTTTCAATACATCCTAAATTGTTGATATCAAACATATGGCTATAATTCATGCGTTTAGACACTTGTTGTTTCAATTTAATAAAACCAATCATTGTATTAAGGATTTTTAATTTATGCCTATAGAGATTGTCTCAGATGATATGGAACGCTTATTACAAGAATCATACTGGATTCATTTATAAGCTTAACACATTAATTATCTCCTAATGGTATGAATGCAAAAGTTTTGTACAATATAGTATTTGTCAATATTGAGCCGGTATACATATACATGTAGCATGTTTTTTCTCATATCAAGGTTTTTTTTATTATTATTAATTATGAGAAATTTTGTATCACATGTGCAGATCCATATTATATGTGTAATTTATTGTTTATGTATTTATATTCATGAAAGATTCTGTATTAACTTGACAAAGTTTTTTATTTCCGCGTTAACGTCACGTTCTGTTTAGCGTATAGTTAAACGGACGTAGCGTCATTTGTCATTTTATAAACGTCACTTTTTCTGAAGAAGACTATACATATAACCGTCGAAAGCTTGAAGAGCGTTAAACTTTGTTTTTATTGAACTGATTATATAATTATTATAATATCATATATGTATACTCTCACTTGTAGTGGGAGACTCCCACATTTTGCTGCCATATTTTCAAAGATTTTTCTTAAAATAAGGGGTATTTTCACAAATTAAAGAATTTTCCCTCTTTTTGATGTCAGAACTCCCTTCTTTGTTTATTGCAAATTCTAAAATCTCCCTCTTTTTGAAGAAAAATCTCCCACTTGATCATTGAAAAAAGTTCACATGTATGTAATATTGTTTTTTTAACCATTTTCACAAGAATAAATAGTAAATAAAAGTTCCTTTTTGAGACTTGACGATACATTTGTACATGTGATTTTTTATTTTTAGGAAATTAATTTTAATGATTAGAACAGATATCCCACTTGTGTTAAATGGCTTTAAATATTAAACTTTAGCATTGGGCAGTTCGAGCCTCGGCCATCAATCATTATTTGTTTTTATGTCAGTCTCAAAAATTATCTAATTTAAAGTCCATTTCAGGGAATGGGGTCCATTTCGCATTTTTTTAAATTTAGTGATGTTCAATCTCCCAGAGCTTTTTTCAAATACCACATGACCATCACGTGATCAAAATATAGGTCAATATGGCGGATGGAAATATGGGCAGTTCTTCCTAGTTGTTTAATTATTTTGTTATTATAGAAGAAGATATGGCCGCTGAAGAATCAACATTTGTCAGAAGTTTATACGACTTACCTACATTTCAGGTTAAGATTTATTTCAAGAGCATAAAAAGATGAGCTGCACATTTTTTAATAATCAATCTGTAAGAATCTTACTAAGATCACTGAAGATGTCTATGCTTATTTATTGATTGTATTTGACAGTTATTGATATAACTTACGACAACTTGCTGTGCTTGCGAACAATAGACTTATATACTGGTATCCTTCATATTACCGAACAAAGTATGAATTGATGCTTTTTCACTGTATATTTTTGACTTTTATTAAAAATAATGGAATTTTACCCAATTTATGTTGGGTTCTTTTTTAATACATGTAAACGTTTCTTTATTTTGGCATAGGGGGTGCCAGATGAGTTGAGGGCTATACAATGCTTAGGATGACATAATTTCACTGTTATGAATGAAGTTGTAATTTCTTATGCTGTTGTAAGAAAATAGTTATGAGTGTAATGACATAGATTTCTATTGAAAGGTCAGGAATTTGAAATATGATGGAATATGGTAGAATATGTAAGAACAGAGATCTGCTGAATACACATTTTTGTGCCATTGGCGCTTAAAAAAAAGAGAATGGTGCAGGAAAATCGTCATTAAAGGACGAATGGGCGCATTTAATATCTTTACCAGACTTGTATCGGTACGAAAACAAAACTCTGCTGGGTTATTTACTCATCCAGTCAAAACTGATACCAACAGCAACAAGTTACCCATTCTCTGAAATTACGCACATTCTCGCATTCATCCATTCCCCTATAGATTTTTTTTTTTTCACCTTATCTTCTTAAGGCATGTATACACATTTCTTCTTTCATGTGAGGAAGCTATCCAGCTAGCTTACGGAACGTCGGTGGTTCTACTGAGGTGCCCGATCATGACAGACGGGCACCTGAGGTCTTCCTCCACCAGTAAAGCTGGAACGTCGCCATATGACCTTTAATGTGTCGGTGTGACGTAAATCACAATTAAACAAACAAACATACGTATTTCTTCTTAAAATCCCTTTCCCAAACAGGTAAGCATTTCTACTACTGTAAATTACATCCAATTAAAAAAACTGTAATAAAAAAAATACTACTACTACTTAATAATAATATTTAAAATGATTGTTGGTAACTGAAAAAAGTTTTACTATTGAAAGAAATGCTGTAATTTACAGTATAATCTAACAGGTGTGCAACTTGATTTCCACAAAGGTCACTCGAGTTCACGCAAGCTTTGGCTGATGAAGTGTAAAAAAGATTCTATTTCGTCATCAGAATATTTGGCAGGGTGATTAACCAACCAGGGAAACATTGTGCATTGAGACTTTTTTTCATGATCATAAATTCTATCGGCAAGTGTCTTTGATGAATGCTCTTTACACAGAGGCACGCAAGGAGCAAAAAGTTGTCAATGTGACGTCCAGGGCCCAGTCTTTTCAAATTCTCAGCAGATCTCTGAAGAAAATATCCCTGACATATGTTTGCTGTTCAGATCAGAATATCTGTCCCTCTGGAACCTGCCAATGAACGGGTCTCTTTTCGACGGATCTGGCCAAAACTATGCCAAAAAGAACTTTCGCATGGTAAAACAAAAAAAACCATCTAATATGCCGGAAAGAAAAGGCTTACATAGTGGATTTCGCAGATTATTCTATTTGGTTGTGTTTTACCTGGAAAAAAAACAATACACGCCTATGAAAAATTGGTTTCAAAACATTTAATTAGATAGATTGAAAGAAAAAAATGAATATATATGCAAACAAGAGACTAATTGTGTTCATTTCACATCTTAGCATGTTCAAACAAACTTGGTCTCCATAATGATCTTTCATACATTTTGTACCTTACAGAGACGTCTGAGGCATGTCAAAAGTATATCTCTGAAAAATTTGCAGTGTAAAAGTTTTAAAGGAAAGGACATAACAAGGCTGGAGGTTTACTTTACACTACATGTAAATACCATGTTAAAAGGTAAGTCATTTTTAATTATTGGTGTATTTTGTATTTTACTCTGTGGATGATGACTGAAAACCACTTTAAATTCACCAGCACACAGTTCAATCACATCATTCCTACAGACACTTGGGGTTTGGAGCTCAAAACGCCTTTAAAATCCAAATAAAATGCATATTTGTCAATCCCAGCACATGTACTGATCATATATATCAAAAAAACTTAATATAAGCCGTTTTGAAAAAATTTCATATTTCAACATCTATAATTATAGATGTTGAAATATGAAATTTTTTCAAAACGGCTTATATTAAGTTTTTTTGATATATATGATCAGTACATGTGCTGGGATTGACAAATATGCATTTTATTTGGATTTTAAAGGCGTTTTGAGCTCCAAACCCCAAGTGTCTGTGATATTTTACAGCTAAATAAACAGGGCTGGGAATCAAAACTGCGTCATATCTGCATTTGATACAGTTTTTCGGAATTTGTAGATGCTTAATATGATAGGTACTTAAATGCGACCGAAAAATGCAGCCTTAATAGAATTGTATTACATTTCCATTTTTATGGAACCAATGAGTGACCTCTGCTTTTGACTTAAGTTGTAAACAAGAAATGTTGTTGGACGTTATTAGCATACCTAGCACATAATTTAAATAGTTTAAAACCAATATGCAGCCTGCAATGAAAATACAACTGCGTCGTATCATATTTTATTTTCAACTGCGTCGTATCATTTCGTAAAAATCATTATTTTCTAAGAAAATAAAGATCTCTTTTTAATGAAAATTTAGTAAATGATGCAAATTTATGATTTGAAGTTTATGGTGAACTCTGAAAACGAGTATATAATTGATTTGAAGGAGAAACGATAGATAAAGCAATATGAACTGCGTCGTATCCACACAATTTCATAAAAATTCTGCTCCGCTTCGAGTTGCAAGTTCGCTATAACTTTTGTTTTACAAAATAGTTGTCTAAGCAACATATACCGTACGAAGCGGAAAATAGTGTAGCGTGTTAATACATATATCTGGTTTTCAGTCATTTCCAACAAAAAGAGTTATTATCAAAAACATACATTTTTTGTCTCAAGATGGCGGCGTTTGTTTACATTTTGTAGGATACGACGCAGTTTTGATTCCCAGCCCTGTAAAGACAGTTTCCTCTAGCCTAAAATAGGTATATTTACCCGTAAAAATGCTATTTTGTCTGTCACATTCTTCACTAACAGCAGCTGACTTGTATGAGCCAGTTAATAAATTTAATAAGCTGTCTCTTTAGATAGCCTCCATGTTTAAAATACATTGCATTAAAATTAAAAAAATATATAAATTTTTTGGGTAAAATCCATTCTTAATTGTTGGAATTTAATTTCAGGTTTTCCCCGTTTTCTGATTTATCATGCTATACATGTATATTCCCAATCAGAAAGCCACAGGTAGTTATGAAAATTGAAGAAAAAAAATCACTGCAATTGAGCTGACATATGGTTTCTTTTAATTAGATTATTATATTTTATATGAATCTTAGAACTTTCCTTTGAAATTGTTGTCTTTAACTTTGTTTTTTCTCTGGGAAAAATCAAATGTATTATCTTTTCATCATACAAATCATATAATACTAATTAGTCAAGAATTAAATCAATTTCAAAGAAATAAGAGGGAAATTGGAATGGGCCCAGTACCTCTGTCTGTTATGGGGCGTCCGTGGCTGAGTGGTTAAGGTCGTTGACTTCAAACCACTTGCCCCTCACCACTGTGGGTTCGAGTCCTGACAGGGACTTTGGATTCTTTCATGTGAGTAAGCTATCCAGCTAGCTTAGGGAACGTCATTGGTTCTACTCAGGTGCCCGTTCGTGCCGGAAATAATGCACGGAGGGGCACCTGAGGTCTTCCTCCACCAGTAAAGCTGGAACGTCGCGATATGACCTATACTGTGTCGATGTGACGTAAAACCCAAAACAAACAAACAAACCTCTGTCTGTTTGTCAGTCACACACCCTCTCGGGTCCATAACTCAGCCATTCATGAAGGGATTTGATCACTTTGAAATACCTTGGCACATATATTCACCATAGTAAGGCTTTGTGTCATGTGCAACACCCATATCCCTTCATCCAAAGTCAGGGTCATTCTTAGTGTTCAAAACTTTACATTAGGCAATAAAAAGATATGCTGAATTGAAGTCCATGTTCAGATACCCAAGAGACAGATTCTGATGTCAGATAATATTTTTTTGTCACACATTATACCATATTTAAGATAGTTTACCTCAATATTAAGTTAATCACTCAAGTAAATTGAAGTATGCAAAAGTCAAAATCATATATGATTTTCAAATTATGAAGAGAAAATGATAGCTAGAAGGAAGGAATGACAGAAATAGTACAATATACTTTTATTACAGAGTACCATATGATGACATACTTACATTTTAACATGTACATGTGTTATAGGTTTAGTAGTTACATATAGGAAACAAGTTTATTTTTGCTGTTGAGAGAAATATGGGAAAATTTAAGCAATATCCTTTAAATGTGAAAAAATACTACACATACACTACCACAAATGTTTAACCTGCCTCCATATAAAGTATGATATTTGGCAATATACTTTAAAGAATAAATTACAAGTATGGTTTTTAGTGGTGTATTCATGAACCTATTGATTTACAAAAAGAAATATTTGTGTACAAAAATGTCCATGCAGAAAGGCATGTATGGAAATAGTGTATGTGTTTCAGGATTCTGCATGCCCAATACGTTAGATTTCATGTGTTTCAGGGTTCCGTATGCCCAATACGTTAGATTTCATGTGTTTAAGGGTTCCCCATGCCCAATACGTTAGATTTCATGTGTTTCAGGGCTCTGCATGCCCAATAGGTTAGATTTCATGTGTTTCAGGGTTCCGCATGCCCAATACGTTAGATTTCATGTGTTTCAGGGTTCTGTATGCCCAATACGTTAGATTTCATGTGTTTAAGGGTTCCCCATGCCCAATACGTTAGATTTCATGTGTTTCAGGGCTCTGCATGCCCAATAGGTTAGATTTCATGTGTTTCAGGGTTCCGCATGCCCAATACGTTAGATTTCATGTGTTTCAGGGTTACGCATGCCCAATACGTTAGATTTCATGTGTTTTCAGGGTAACGCATGCCCAATACGTTAGATTTCATGTGTTTCAGGGTTATGCATGCCCAATACGTTAGATTTCATGTGTTTCAGGTTACGCATGCCCAATACGTTAAATTTCATGTGTTTCAGGGTTACGCATGCCCAATACGTTAGATTTCATGTGTTTCAGGGTTACGCATGCCCAGTAGGTTAGATTTCATGTGTTTCAGGGTTACGCATGCCCAATACGTTAGATTTCATGTGTTTCAGGTTAGCATGCCCAATACGTTAGATTTCATGTTTTTCAGGGTTCCGCATGCCCAATACGTTAGATTTCATGTGTTTCAGGGTTACGCATGCCCAATCGGTTAGATTTCATGTGTTTCAGGGTTACGCATGCCCAATACGTTAGATTTCATGTGTTTAAGGGTTCCCCATGCCAAATACATTAGATTTCATGTGTTTCAGGGTTACGCATGCCCAATACGTTAGATTTCATGTGTTTCAGGGTTCCGCATGCCCAATACGTTAGATTTCATGTGTTTCAGGGTTCCGCATGCCAAATACATTAGATTTCATGTGTTTCAGGGTTCCGCATGCCCAATACGTTAGATTTCATGTGTTTCAGGGTTCCGCATGCCCAATACGTTAGATATCATATTCGGTACAAACATGATCCTCATGGATTGTCTTTTATGAAAAAGATCACATTTGCCAAAAATGGGAATTGCAGAATGCTCTCAAGCTGTTGGAATTATTTTGCCGGCTTCTTTATATGTAAGGCCTTGTTGTAAAAGTTGCATTATATGTCTTATTTAAAATTTATCAAAAGATGTACAAGACACTCAGATGTTAGCATGTATTTTGCAAGTTTAGAGCTATATCTCTTGACAAAGTTTTAAAATTTAAAAAACAGTAAAATTTTTTTGTTCCCTTAATCTTAATGATCCTCCAAAGAGTTTTTAGCTCGACTATACAAAGTACATGTATATGGACAGCTATCCTACTCGTGCCGGCGTCCGCATCAGCGTCCAGATTTCAGATTGAAGTTTTAGTGCAGTAAAATATTTTTTACTATAATCATTTCTTAAGGTATCAACTTCAAATTTCAAATATATGTTCCTTATCATCAACCACATCTTATGTGACAAGGTTCATAACTCTAGCACCAATATTTTCAGATTTATCTACACTTGATCTTAGAATTTTCCTTAAAAAATATTTTTTACTGTAACTTTTTTATTTCTTATGGGATCAACTTCAAACTTCAAATATATGTTCCTTATCATCAACCACATCTTAGGTGACAAGGTTCAAAACTCTAGCACCAATGTTTTTAGATATATCTCCCCAAGGTTCATAACTCTTGAAGCAATCTTTTTAGATGTATCTCCTTTTGAACTTGGAAATTTCTTTAAGAAATATCATAACTGCTTTACTTTTTAAGGTATCAACTTCAAACTTCAATTAATTATGTATTTCTTATCATAACACACATGTTGTATGACAAGGTTCATAACCCTAGTGTGATTATTTCAAGAATTTTCCCCCTTGAACTTGGAATTTATCTTAACAACTATAACTTCTTGTCATAAGAAGAAATATATTTACATCATAACTTTAATAGTTTTGTCTTCCTTACTGCGTCCAGTATTTAATTAGTCAAGCTTTGCTGTCTCCTGTGACAACTTTGTTTCACATCAAAACCATGCGTAAACAGAATAAAATGTTAGAGAACAAAATATTGTGCTGTGATTTTTAAGTAAGGTTTTAAAAACATATAGAAATTATGTGGTGCATGTGTGAATTGCTCAAAAGAAGTATACCAACATATTTCTTTCATACAGGCATTTGACAAAATCATTTTTTTTTTCATAATTTAAACAAAAAAATGTGCAGGCAGCAGAGAAAAGCTTTATACAATATATAGGTGATTCATATCTATGTGAAATAAATATGTTATGGTAAATAAAAATAAAGGTGATGAAACTAACAACACTTATGTAATATATCTAATTTTTAAAATACAGGTAGGTTTTATACAACACCTAATGGACATATATGTACAATCAAATACATGTAATATAAAGGTAAAATACAGTTATGGAAAATATATGGTCAACTGTTAATTTTTTACACAGATGATACATTAATCCAACTTCCCGGTATAAGTTGAACTGGAAGGCTGTGGGGCGTTTGACTGAGTATGCATTTCAGGAAGATTGATTACTTGCCCCTCATGGTGAAGGTTACCTCTGCACGTCCTCAAACTCCACATGTTAGTGACAACCTGACTCACCAAGATGTCGGAGGAGTTGGCACCAATTAACTTTAATACCATAACACCGTCCTCTCCAATCATATTACAGAATTGATCAAGATCATTTTGTGTCACACAAAGGCTGGCTATGTTTGGATCGTCTGAAACTTCCATAGCTCTTTTTATGTACCTGTAACAGAGTTTGTAACCATTAATTTTTTGCACTAAATAAAAAAAACTGAACTGCTTAATAAACTTAAAAGACTGCAAAAAATTAGAAATAAGAATTGCAGCCGCCGTTTATTCCGGAGTGATCGTAAGAGGCAAGTAAATGGGTTCGAATTACTGGAGTCTCTTAACTCCAGCAGGTATAAAGGTGCTTTTGATAGTTTATAAGACCCACGATAGCCAAAATCATCTTTCCAGTTTTGGTGCCGTATGACCTAAATTGTGTTGGTGCTCCGTCAAACCAAAAGAATATGAAAGTCAAACCAACTATGTGTTGTCTGTCTCAAGTGAACAGATCAAGGAGCAATTCGTTATCAATCAGTTAAGTTGAAAGGTTGCCATATGAACAGGTTGCCATATGAACAGAACTGATTGAAAAAGTCTGATCTCCCTTATCCGCCCCAGACCCCCCAACCCCAAAACCCGTATAAAGAAAATAAAATCTTTACTTACCTTTTTCGGGATAATGGAATAAGGGTTGTCAATGTCCAAACAATAATACTTATACATGTAACTATAGCAACAACTACAAACCATACCCATATGAAAATGTATACAACTTCATTGAAGTAGTTTGCATTTAAGTAACATTGAACTGTGTATGCTTGAATCGAGGTCAAAACTCTGATTTTGAAGTCACAAAGTGTGTACCGAGGGAAGGCTGGGGATTCAATCCACATATCAGTTTTATTTAAGAAAAGGTTATGTCTAATAATGTCACCATATGACATCACATTTATGATTTCTGGAGAGCCTGACATCAGAAAGGAGTTCACAGCTCTCATTTGTATGATGATATTGCCTACATACAGAAGTTTTACAACAAACCAAAGAACTGAAAGTACACGCCATGGTAAAAAGTTGGATTGTTTGCACCAGTTGTAGATGTACCTGGCAATCTGTTTCACCAGGATCTCACGTTCATACATTGTCATCATTTTAAATCCACTTGTCAAATTTGTGATCTTGTCAAAACTGATGCCAGAATATCCATGTAAAGTATACATTAAAATATTAGGTAATTTAAAAACAAGTGCCTGAAAACAGAGGATTATGGGTAACCACTGGTAAAGTGCTCTGATTGGTTTGCTTTCGTGCCTTATTGGTAGTGGTATAGGTTCCTGTATAAAAGGGTAATTGTATTGTTGGTACCAGCATTCTTCACTGACATACTGGTCCATACTTTCTGTAAATCCCTGCGGTGTCCAGCAGCTTATTGGTGTTTTATAGCCATGGTTCCAGCTTATTAGACAGGCTAGCAAAAGAAGGATACCAAATGTCCAGAAGTGGTTCAATCTATCAGAGACACTTTCTAGGACAGCACCATGACCCAAAACACATCTTACGATTCCACGATATACAGTCGGCATTTTCTGATTTTGATTATTCTGTTGTAGAATATGAAAAAAAATCATTTTTGAATAGATTATATAATGTCAACATATTTTATTTGTACTGAAACTGAAAGATATATCAAAAATAAGATTCAGATGAAAAATATATAAATATATAAATTATCATGGAAAATATAGACAAGATTTAAAATGTCCTGGTATGACTTTAAGACTGATAGTGAAGTTTGATAGGGAGTCTTAAAATATAATCAGTAATGTGATTGAGATTGTGTCTTGTTTTATATAAGGATAGGCCTGTTAATAAAACAGCTAGCAGGAATGGAGTCATTATAATTACATGGATTTTCTCTCTTATCTCAAGGTGCTTTAACAATGTAAATATGAAGTTGTGTGCAGATTATTAGCTTGATATTAATATTAAAAAGTGTTCCTTATTCTTCACACCCAGGAGTCATAGTAACGTTTGGTTATTAAGGTTTTCTGACATTGATCAATCTGTATTGATTACATTGAACTGACAGTTTCAAAGCAGGACAATTTAATTTACATGTACATTAATCTAACATAACAGGATAAATTTGAAATAAACCATGTATGTGACATCAGTGATTATGATGAAAAACAAAACGACATATTTCTTGAATCCTAGATATTTTCTAACTTACTGTTAAACAGACTTACTGTTTATTTAACCATTTTAATTTGAGAACAAGCATGCCTATCAAATAAGTTAGTTATAATGCTCATAAGAAAAAATAAACATACAGCTACCAGGGTTGTCATTAAGAGGCGGCAGGAGGCCAAAATGCCTGTCTTAAATGCATTATGGACCGCCTCAAAATTAAGAAAACACTCTTTGTTATACATGATAAAGACAGAAATGACCGCCTCAAGTTCAAAACAAACCTTCTGCAAAAATGATAATGACAACCCTGAGCTACAGTTAATTGTATGTCACTGACAAGGAGCTGTGTAAAGTGTTTAAATTCTCTAAATAATATTATCATCTAACAGTATTTAATATTGTAGAATTTTGTTATCTTCAGGGTGCATGTGTTTCTATTAGGAAGTATGATTCTGTCATTTAAACATTATTAAACTTGGTTTATAAAGAACTTAATTTAAATCTAATTTTAAAATGTACCTCTGATCAAAAGAAACAATTAAAAACAGTTTTATAGCTAAGCAATAGGCAATAAAATAAAAAAAAACAGTTGTTAAAATATGTTTTAATTCTACCTACCTCAAAATATGTGTAAGATATCCTTAACTGAACTGTTGCGATATCTCCTCACAGAATTGAATGTAAATATTTAGGAAGACTTCTAAATGTGTGTATCGGCTTTATTTTCTGTATGTGATCAGCCAATAGTGTGAGAGCTCAGGCATGCTATAGAGGTCATTTCATGAAAACTAGTACATGAAGAAGAAAAATCTCCACCTTAGTGCAGTAATAGGTTAACTCTCTATTTGATTTAATATAAGTTAACACATTAATGCACTAAGGTGATGAAATTGATTTCTGTGGTAACTACATGCAGTGTCAAAAATGACTTCCAAATATTTCTATATGTCTTTAATAAAAGTTTATGATTACCATAGTGTAACGGGTTCTGCTAATTCTAAACAATTTTTTGTTGTAACAAGATGTCAATGGGGTAAATGGATCAGTTAAATGTTATTTTCTGAATCTTTATAACCCCAATATAAAAATCAATGCAAAATAATGGTCTGTTAAAAAGAAATACAAAAATGTATACATGTATTTCATTTGATATGTACATGTATGTTTTATGCCTTCCAATTTTTTATTAAAGAAAAATCCCTTGTTGTAGTTAATCATTTTATGCCTCCAACCTTACAGCCGGTAACAATATACCAATAACAATATACCAAAAAACATTTGGGGCGTATAATAAACAGGATTAAAGAAAATTTAGCTTTTTTAAAATAACATTCTACAAATTTCAGTGGGTTGATGTATAGTAGCTGGGAATTCGTTTACATTTACTCCAACTGTGTTAAAATACATTGTAATCAAATAACATCTGGTTTATGTAGGAAGTGTGTAATAATTTTATGTAAATGAATGGACCTGGTAAATCTGTAATGTTTAAAGAACTTCCCTGCTCTAAACCAATGTAGCATCAATTTACTTAACTATTTATATGAGTAATCGGTTACAACAATTAAGAAGTCAATGGGAACTCAGAGCAGATGACACTTTTAATTTTAACTTGATTTTTTTTTATTCCAGAGTTTTACAGAAGTGAAGTGATCACTGGATCCCTGGTATGTATAACACTGTCATTTCATTGATATTTTACGTTTCTACAGAAATTATTTTAAATTTGTATATTTCAATTAGTTTAGTAAAAGTCTTGACCCTTGACATAATGCTCCCGGTTTTACAACTAGTGCTTGAGTTTTTTAGTGTTGCATCAACTTCTGTTAAAGGGACTCCACTGAGGTTTTTTGACATGACAGGACTGGAAATAATTTTTTGAGATTATTACTCCATTTGGTGTAGATCTATACTAATAACTTATGTGCAAAATTTCAGATCATTAGCTTGCTCCGTTTTTCCAGAATATTTATTATAATAGTGAAAAATGACCCAAAATTGAAAAGCGTTTAAACGCTTTTCTCTCAAATTGGACTGAGAATAGCACAAACATATGATTTTCAATGTTTTTCTTGTGTATTTCCTAGTTATATCTTATTTATATTTCTGTTTAAAGTGTTCATGTTTATGTGAAATTTAAAATGTTATGTTTTAGGCTTATAAACCTCAGTGGAGTTCCTTTAAGATTATGATTTTTTGTAAAACAGAAAAATTAAGGGATGTCAAACGGACATGCAACTTTGATATTGGGAAAGTTCTAAAATTGTTTACAAGCATGTTTAAGGTATTTCTGAAATAAGTTTTGGGCTTTAATGTAATGTTGTAATACACTATATATGAATGATGTACTATACCTGCAAATTAAATACATGTATTGGATTTTTTACTCATGTCTTTAAGAATACACTTAAATAATTATCTTGTTATGTTTCAGAATCCGTCCTGGCAAAGTTTTGATATCAGCAGATTTCAAGAGATTATTGATATACAAGCAAAATGTATCCTTACACTGTTCCTGACAGTTATCATACTTTATATTGAACATAGGAAATATTCAGACATATTAATATCTCAGAACAAATATTTTCACCTTTATAAATTTTCATAACCCTAACCCTGGTGATGTGTTGTTTCAACATATTTATGCTAAGTTTAATTAATATTTTAGTCACTATATTTCTTGACAATTTTGTTCAGATTTTTATTTGCGTGTATGGGTAAAGGATGGTAGTTCATCAGAGACTGTCCCATATGTTCTTGTTGACTGGCATATCAACTTATCTGGCCTCATGTTCTTCTCAGACAAGGTAATGTCACCAAATTTATAACCTTTATTCTATGACCTGATGCAACTGCTGTCATAGAGAAGTGTTGTTGAGTTCGAAAGACTTGCCCATTCACTACTGTGAGGCTGATGAGTTTGAAAGACTTGCCCATTTACTACTGTGAGGTTGTTGAGTTTGAAAGACTTGCCCATTTACTACTGTGAGGTTGATGAGTTTGAAAGACTTGCCCATTTACTACTGTGAGGCTGATGAGTTTGAAAGAGACTTGCCCATTTACTACTGTGAGGCTGATGAGTTTGAAAGACTTGCCCATTTACTACTGTGAGGTTGTTGAGTTTGAAAAGACTTGCCCATTTACTACTGTGAGGTTGTTGAGTTTGAAAGACTTGCCCCATTTACTACTGTGAGGCTGATGAGTTTGAAAGACTTGCCCATTTACTACTGTGAGGTTGTTGAGTTTGAAAGACTTGCCCATTTACTACTGTGAGGCTGATGAGTTTGAAAGACTTGCCCATTTACTACTGTGAGGTTGTTTGAGTTTGAAAGACTTGCCCATTTACTAACTGTGAGGCTGATGAGTTCGAAAGACTTGCCCATTTTACTACTGTGAGGTTGTTGAGTTTGAAAGACTTGCCCATTTACTACTGTGAGGTTGATGAGTTTGAAAGACTTGCCCATTTACTACTGTGAGGTTGTTGAGTTTGAAAAAGACTTGCCCATTTACTACTGTGAGGCTGATGAGTTTGAAAGACTTGCCCATTTACTACTGTGAGGTTGTTGAGTTTGAAAGACTTGCCCATTTACTACTGTGAGGCTGTTGAGTTTGAAAGACTTGCCCATTTACTACTGTGAGGTTGTTGAGTTTGAAAAAGACTTGCCCATTTACTACTGTGAGGCTGATGAGTTTGAAAGACTTGCCCATTTACTTACTGTGAGGTTGTTGAGTTTGAAAGACTTGCCCATTTACTACTGTGAGGTTGTTGAGTTTGAAAGACTTGCCCATTTACTACTGTGGTTGTGAGGCTGATGAGTTTGAAAGACTTTCCCATTTACTACTGTGAGGTTGTTGAGTTTGAAAGACTTGCCCATTTACTACTGTGAGGTTGTTGGGATTTGAAAAGACTTGCCCATTACTACTGTGAGGCTGACTATGAGTTTGAAAGACTTCCCATTTACTACTGTGAGGTTGTTGAGTTTGAAAGACTTGCCATTTTACTACTGTGAGGTTGTTGAGTTTGAAAGACTTGCCCATTTACTACTGTGAGGTTGTTGAGTTTGAAAGACTTTGCCCATTTACTACTGTTGAGGCTGATGAGTTTGAAAGGACTTTGCCCATTTACTACTGTGAGGTTGTTGAGTTTGAAAGACTTGCCCATTCACTACTGTAAGCTGATGTCATACGATAGGTCACAGATAATAGAACTTGGGTGATAATTCAATAATTCTACATAGATGTTAGGTCAACATAGGTGTTAATTCTTCATCAGTGATAATTCTATAATTCTACATAGACGTTAGTACAACATGGGTGATAGTTCTACACCAGTGATAATTCTATAATTCTACATAGATGTTAGGTCAACATGGGTGTTAATTCTTCATCGGTGATAATTCTATAATTCTACATAGACGTTAGTACAACATGGGTGATAGTTCTACGTCAGTGATAATTCTATAATTCTACATACATATTGTATATGTTAGTAGAACATGGGTGATAGTTCTACATCAGTGATAATTCTATAATTCTACATAGGTGTAACTTCAACATAGGTGTTTGTTCAAGATAGGTGTTTGGTCAACATAGGTGATAGTTTAACATAGGTGAAAGTTCAACATTGGTGATAGTTCAACATAGGTGATAGTTTAACATAGGTGATAGTTTAACAGAGGTGATAGTTCAACATAAGTGATAAGTATACAAAAGTCATAGTTCAACATAGGTGATAGTTCAACCTAGGTAAGATAGTTTCAACTTGGTTATAGTTCAGCATAGGTGATAGGTGTACAAAAGTGATAGTTCAACATAGGTGATAGTTCAACATGGGTGATAGGTCAACATAGGTGGTAGTTCAACATAGGTCGCTTCTTTGATCTCTTTTATTTAATTCTAGGTTAATATTAATTTTCTGCTTTTTATAAATTTCAAAGAATAACATAACTTTTGTTTTTGATGATGGGTTTATAATATATGAACATTGAATACTGATTGAACATTAGTAATGGTAAAAAAATTACATCTCTAACAGTTGGTAAACAAAATTTGAATTGATCGCACATTGCTACTGGAGCAGTTTGTGAAATATCACCTAAGTATAGTAAAATAACATATATGAACATGTGAGAGTTCCTTGAGAACAATGTCATTATTTTAGTACATGAAATGCTACAGATTGTAGGCCAAATTTATTATTGTCGTCTGCTAGCACAAGCCATTTTGGTCTAATAATTTGTGTCATTATAAGGTGTCTTAATGGGGTTATTATAAGTGTTATTGTTGATGTTATTATTAGTATTCTTGGTGTTATTATTAGTGTTATTGTTGGTGCAGTTATTAGTGTTATTATTAGCATTATTGTTGGTGCAGTTATTAGTGTTATTGTTGGTGTTATTATTAGTGTTATTGTTGGTGCAGTTATGAGTGTTATTGTTGGTGTTATTATTAGTGTTATTGTTGGTGTTATTATTAGTGTTATTGTTGGTGCAGTTATTAGTGTTATTGCTGGTGTTATTATTAGTGTTATTGTTGGTGCAGTTATTATACCCCCAAAAACGAAGTTTGGGGGGGTATATAGGAGTCACCCGGTGGTCGGTCGGTCGGTCGGTCCAGACGTCCGTTGCATTTTCCTTGTCCGGAGCATAACTTGAAACTTATGGTTGGAATTCAATATAACTACATACAATGGTCAAGCACATTGAGAGGAAGTGCAGTGCACAAGAACCATAACTCTATCTTGACTAATTACAGAGTTATTGCCCTTTGTTACTTTTCCTTGTCCGGGGCATAACTTGAAAACTACTGGTTGGAATTCAAAAACAACTTCATACAATTGTCAAACACAATAAGGGGAAGTGCAGTGCACAAGAACCATAACTCTATCTAAAGTAATTACAGAGTTATTGCCCTTTGTTGCTTTTCCATTGCTTTTTTTTTTGTCAGTTGCATTTTCTTTGTCCGGAGCATAACTTGAAGACTAATGATTGGAATTCAATATAACTACATAACAATGGTCAAGCACATTGAGAGGAAGTGCAGTGCGTAAGAAACATAACTCTATCTTGACTAATTACAGAGTTATTGCCCCTTTGTTACTTTTTCCTTGTCCGTGGCATAACTTGAAAACTACTGGTTGGAATTCCAAAACAACTTCATACAATTGTCAAACACAATAAGGGGAAGTGCAGTGCACAAGAAACCATAACTCTATCTAAAGTAATTACAGAGTTATTTGCCCTTTGTTGCTTTTCCATTGCCTTCTTTTTTTTTCCGGAGCATAATTTGAAGACTAATGGTTGGAATTCAATATAACAACATACAATGGTCAAGCACATTGAGAGGAAGTGCAGTGCATAAGAACCATAACTCTATCTAAAGTAATTACAGAGTTATTGCCCTTTATTACTTTTCCATTGCTTTCTTTTGTCCGGACCATAACTTGAAGACTAATTATTGGAATTCATTATAAACTTCATACAATGGTCCAGCACATTGAGAGGAAGTGCAGTGCACAAGAACCATAACTCCATTTTTGACTTATTACAGAGTTACTGCCCTTTGTTTCTTTTTCTTGTCCAGAGCATGACTTTAAAACTACTGGTTGGAATTCAAAACAACTTCATACAATGGTCAAGCACAATAAGGGGAAGTGCAGTGCACAAGAACCATAACTCCATCTTGACTAATTACAGAGTTATTGCCCTTTGTTACTTTTCCATTGCTTTCTTTTGTCCGGACCATAACTTGAAGACTTATTGTTGGAATTCAATTATAACTTCATACAATGGTCAAGCACATTGAGAGGAAGTGCAGTGCATAAGAACCATAACTCCATCTTGACTAATTACAGAGTTACTGCCCTTTGTTACTTTTCCTTGTCCAGAGCATGACTTGAAAACTACTGGTTGGAATTCAAAACAACTTCATACAATGGTCAAGCACAATAAGGGGAAGTGCAGTGCACAAGAACCATAACTCCATCTTGACTAATTACAGAGTTATTGCCCTTTGTTACTTTTCCTTGTCCAGAGCATAACTTGAAAACTACTGTTTGGAATTCAGTACAACTTCATACAGTTGTCAAGGACATTCAAAAGGAAGTGCAGTGCACAAGAGCCATAACTCCATTTTGACAAAAATACAGAAGTTACTGCCCTTTGATACTTTTCCTTGTCCGGAGCATAACTTAAAAACGTACTGGTTGGAATTCAAAACAACTTCATACAATGGTCAAGCACAATAAGAGGAAGTGCCGTGCACAAGAACTATAACTCTATCTTCAGTATTTATAGAGTTATTGCCCTTTGTTCTTTTTCTTTGTCTTTCTGGACTTATTACAGAAGTAATTCAATTAAACCTTCATCAATGGCCAACCACATTGAAAGGAAATGCAACATACATGAACCACAATTATCTTTAATTGCCCACAACCATAACTCTATGTTTCAATTCTTTTACAAGGTATTCTGTTACTAGTAACATCCTCATTTCCGAAGCAGACTTGTGGGGGTATTAATCACATTTAGTGATAGTTCTAGTTAGTGTTATTATTGGTGTTATTGTTGGTGCAGTTATTAGTGTTATTGTTGTTGTTATTATTAGTGTTATTGTTGGTGCAGTTATTAGTGTTCTTGTTGGTGCAGTTATTAGTGTTATTGTTGGTGCAGTTATTAGTGTTATTGTTGGTGTTTTTATTAGTGTAATTGTTGGTGCAGTTATTAGTGTTCTTGTTGGTGCAGTTATTAGTGTTATTGTTGGTGCAGTTATTAGTGTTATTGTTGGTGTTTTTATTAGTGTTATTGTTGGTGCAGTTATGAGTTTTATTGTTGGTGTTATTGTTGGTGTTATTATTAGTGTTATTGTTGGTGTTATTATTAGTGTTATTGTTGGTGCAGTTATTAGTGTTATTGTTGGTGTTATTATTAGTGTTATTGTTGGTGTTATTATTAGTGTTATTGTTGGTGCAGTTATTAGTGTTATTGTTGGTGTTATTATTAGTGTTATTGTTGGTGCAGTTATTAGTGTTATTGTTGGTGTTATTATTAGTGTTATTGTTGGTGTTATTATTAGTGTTATTGTTGGTGCAGTTATTAGTGTTATTGTTGGTGCAGTTATTAGTGTTATTGTTGGTGTTATTATTAGTGTTATTGTTGGTGCAGTTATTAGTGTTATTGTTGGTGCAGTTATAAGTGTTATTGTTGGTGTTATTATTAGTGTTCTTGTTGGTGTTATTATTAGTGTTATTGTAGGTGTTATTGTTAGTGTTATTGTTGGTGCAGTTATTAGTGTTATTGTTGGTGTTATTGTTGGTGCAGTTATTAGTGTTATTGTTGGTGTTATTATTAGTGTTATTTTTGAGGTTGTTATTGATATAATTGCAGTTACAGCAAGACAAGTATAAAAATATTCCAAACATGGTGATGGTAGGAATGTTTGACAAGTTCTTTGTTGCTCCAGAGGTAAACATTTCCAAATATATAATAACCCTTTTATCTCCATAAAGTATATATTTCAGTGACATAACTGGTGCACATTTTGAACAGGTTTTAATGATAGATATATGTGTCCATTGTCCAATATGAAATAAATTTCACTGTGTGACTCGATTCTGCCGGAACATTGGTAGTTTACAACAATAATAAATGTCATCTGTAACAGATTTTATCAAAAATCTAACATATGTTGTCTCCATTTAATGCTTCCTCTTATGGAGAATATGTTTTAAAATTTGATATAAATCATTATAATTATCAAACATTAAAATGTTGTAAACATTAAAATGGATAGCATTTAAATAAAAGGAAGTATATACCTGTATCTAGAAATCTAGAGTTAGTCCTTGCCTATATGACATGTATGCTCTTACCTGCCAGCTTCTTATTTTGGAAAAATGTATTTTCTTACAAAATTGTATGGTGCTTTTTGCTTTAATGTTTAATAAATTTCTTTGGATTAGATAATGTTATTTTATGATCAACTTTCAGTCAAGTTTACCTCCAGAACTAGACACCTGGCTTGTAGATCCATCAACTCCAGTAAGATGCTCATATAACATCAATTCATTATCCAGGTAAACTTACTATGTTTTATATACTCTAGAAATATCAGTCAGTATTTTCTCATTAAACAGATCATAGTACCTGTAGACAAGTTGTTTGTTGAAATTTGACTTTGACCATTTTGTGATCTTGACATTCAAAAATATGTTTAAAACTTTCGCGTGAGTTATGAGAAACTATTATATTATACTTAGATATCTATTTCAGAATTCACACAGTTTTGCGTGCCATCAGTCAGATGCAGGTGTCCGTTAAACGTGTTCATAATTCCATAGAGGACAAACTACTCTCATCACAGGAAAAATCCAAAAAGGTAGGATGATAGTTCATAGATTATAGTTGATTTTAATTTTTATGATATTTACAAAATTTTACTGTGTTTTTTGAGGAATTATGGTCTTTGTATTTGTGTTCTAATATCATATGCACTTTCTGGCCTAAATCACCAATTAATAAAGTTGCTATCTTAACTTGCTGCTCATACGTATGTATACAACAATTTCCATGCTATTATAACCATTACTAAGAGAATGGGAAAGTTTGATGAATCTACCAAGATTCTTATTTTTTGTGAAATGGTGTACAAAAGGTGGGGGCATTAGTCTGTCTCCATCAGCTTAGATCAAGTTGGAATGTTGACAAATCTAAATGGGTTTTTTTTTAAATTTGACTAGGGGAAAAAGTATTAATAATAATGTATACTTGTAGAAGATTTTCATCTGTTTTGTAGGTATTTATATTTATTTTACTTGTTTAGTTAGCTGCCAGAGAAGACCTTGACCTGAAAGTAGGTCATTTGAAGAATGAGTTAGCATGGCAAATGAATAAACTCCAGCACCAGAAAGATATCCTAGACAACTGTATTAAAGCTAAGGAGGAAAGAAGTATGTATGTCATATATGTACATTGTCGTGATCACATCTATATTGAGCCATATTTCTATAATAGAAGTACAGATGATTCAAATATACATTATGGTTATCACTTCTATATTGAGCCATATTTCTATAATTGAAGTACAGATGATTCAAACACAATGTTAGGATCTATTTTATAAATAATTTTTCAGTCTCGTTTGTAATCTGTTGATATACACTTGCCAAGAGTACAACTGTGAGTTAAATAAAGGAATTTGTATAACCAACAGAGGTTATTGTGAGAATATTATGATAGTTGAGATGATGTTCAAATATAGTAGTGAGTTAGTGGCTGTGATATTAAAAGGACTTGCATGAAATACTCAGGACATCAAATCAAGGCCAGGCAATTAAAAAGACATGAAAATATCTCCTGATTAAAGTTGTCAAAATAGCCAATAAACTTTGAATTATTAATGGAAATTTTACTTGAAATTTTATAAATGGGCCACATAAAGACTTTGACATATTGAAAAAATGCAACACTGAAAAATTTAACTCCTATCTAGGTATTTTATAAGAATAGATATATAAGTTGTAGGGGGAGAATTTGAGGACTCCTTTTCACTCCGACACAGTGAGAAAATTATCTTATCAATGTTTGACACATTTAAGTTATACCATAGTCTTGAATGAGCTGATGGTTTTGCAATAAGTTATTAGAAAACATACAGGGGAGAATAAACTGACATCACTGTGATAAATTCCAGCATTCCTATCCCAGAAAATAACCTGTGAGTTTGGATAATAGATTAGTAGGGCTATCCTTCTTACCTGTGCAATTAATACTGAATAGTTTTGCATATTTATTCATTGAAACTTCATTCATCATAAGGTCATATTTGTAAAACTAATCCAGGATTCTGGAATAAAGTTTGTCTGAATTATAGCCCTTCGTGATCTTAGAAAATTTCTGGTAAAAGTTTTATATACACGATCAGTCTCCACAAGTACTGATGGTATTTTCTTGCATATCAGACTGGCGTTTCTGTTAATTTTACCCATGCCGGAAATTTCATCTGGCATGGGGGGTTCCAGATGAGTCGCGTGCTGTACAATGGCACGATAAAGATGACGTCATTTTAACGTTATGAATGATTTTGTAATTCATACGCTGTTGAATGAAAGTAGTTACGGTTATAATGATATAAATTTTCATTGAAAATAAAGATAAAGAATTTAAAATATAATGGAATATGGTAGAATATGCAAGAAAAAATATCTGACATATGTTTGTGGTTCGGATTAGAATATCCGTCCCTCGGTCATCCGCCCATGGGCGGTAACTCGGCAAGCCTCATTACCGCCCAGTGGGCGGATCACCTCGGGACGGATATTCCGATCCGAACTGCAAAATATGACAGATATTATTATGCTAAAGATTTTATTATTATCATATTATCAAGTGCTGGTGATATTGAAGCATGGCAAGCATAATTTGTTTTTATTTATCCCAAATCATAATTGTTAAACTCTTCTATCTCTGTGTACTCTATCTGTTCACAAACTTATTTGTGCTAAAAGGTTTCAGTTTAAGAATCAACTGATGTAGATTTTTTTTGTGTCTAACACAAATGTTGATGACTCACGGCAAGCTTCTTTAATACTTCTTGAAATAATAAAAAAACATTGTAATATGATTCATTTAGACACAATCATGGCATTGAAATTATATTTTTTCAGAGCTTGGTCTCAGGTGTTAGGATTTTCATTGATCTATGTACATTCTGTTCCTGTCAACAGATTGGAATATCTGAGATCTTAGCTTAAGTGTAACAAATTTCATAAAAATAACATTAGGCCCTGGTCTATTTACACCATGGTATTTTCAGTTATGATAGCTGTCATGTGTTTCAGGTAACATTCTCAAGAAGGAGTTTTATGATCTGGAGAAGGATCGTGGCGGCCACGAGGAGAAGAAGAAGACCTACTATCAGATCAGAGAACGCTACATCAAAGAGAATTACCAGCTTTTAATACGCAGAAAACAACTTATTACTGAATTAACAACTTACATATATCCTATCACAGAGGTAAATAAGTCAATGTTTCACTATGAATATCTGTTTGCATCATAACATAGTTTTTGAATTTTAATTTTTTTTGTCTGTCATATGTAAATGCTGAAGCCTGCTTAAATCACATACTTTCCACATTAGGTTTTAATCCCAGCAATAATGTTGAATTTCTTCACTTGATGAAACTATATCCAGTTTACAACAGGTCATTGATTCTTCTGGCTGTTACATTATTCATTATGATCTTACATATAAACTGTTGGAATGTTAATGATGATGATGACACACACATATGAGCCACGTTACGAGAAAACCAACATAATGGGTTTGCGACCAGCATTGATCCAGACCAGCCTGCGCATCCCCGCAGTCTGATCAGGATCCATGCTGTTCGCTATCAGTTTCTCTACTTGTAAAAGGGTTGGTAAGCAAACAGCATGGATCCTGATCAGACTGCGAGGATGCGCAGGCTGGTCTGGATCCATGCTGGTTGCAAACCCATTATGTTGGTTTTGTCATGACGCGGCTCATATCTACATCATACTGTCTGACAATTGTACCCATGTTTGAAGTCTGATCAGGCTCATTACTGTAGAATTTTTATTTGTCGAGCTGAGAGACACTCGATAATGAATAGTGATTAGTGGCATTAACGAAAATAATCGATGACAGGGGTGTAACATTTAAAAGTATTGACCGAGTAACAGTTCATTTTATCATTGCACATGCACAGGATTTCAGCGGTTCAATTTAATAGTTGTAAATAAAGATTTATAGAAGGCATTAGGTAATAATATGATATGTTAACTAGTGGATTTTCATGTTTATAGCATAAACTTTCTTTAATTTGTTCAGCAAACTTCTGTAGTACTATTTAACTATTTTGTTATATTTTTCATTTAGATTAAAGAAGGAAGGTTGTGTATATGTAATGTATACTTACCTAACTCAGAACAGTTTCAAGGTAAGATATTTATTTTTAATGTCAACTTTTTGAAGGTAACTTTGAAGGTTTAGTTTTGTATATGGACATTAAGTTCAGTTACTAACAATATTGAAACTTCATATGTGGATACACTTAGAATTTGGAAGACTTGTTCACTATTAAAATTGGAATGCAATTCTTAAGTAGATAAACTGAGGGTCATTCTTGCTTGCCTCATTATTTCCCATTTATATGTAATTTTCTTAAAACCATCACATATATCCACTGTAAGTTAAAAGTTCTTGTAAATATTTTTTTTTACAAAAATTATCTGAAAAGTAAAATAGATTGGAAGCAATTAGATATAAGTAATTTTAAATATTTTATTTACAATTATGAGATAATTGACAGTTTCTAAAATAAGCTTGTTAACAATAACTACTTTTAGTATAATTGTTGCAATTTTGATAAAAGACACTAAAAGATGTTAAAAAACTGTTACAGATGGTCTGATAAATTGATATTGGCAGTGTTAAGTGTTGGTAAGTTATTATAAACAATATTTAATCTGCCAACATTCATTTAGTCTGTGTCCAAGTATACATTTGATGTCATTTTAGGTCACGATGACACAAAGACTGCTGTTGCCCTTGGTTACACATGTCACCTAGTGGAGATGATGTCACAGATATTAGATTTTCCTCTACGTTATCCAATGCATCATAACTCTTCTAGGTCCACCATAACTGACCATATACATTCCAAATTACATGACAAAGACAAAATGTAAGTATGTCTTGCCTTGTATAAGGATGAAATTATGAGGAAAGAATTTTTTAACTTTTGAATAATTCTCTCTTGGTCCCAACCTATAAAAGTTCTTGGTAAAGTTTAGTTTTGCATCTGATTCATTCAGTCTGACTTTTAAAATGAAATCTTTAACAATCTTCTTCTTGGAACAGCTTAGATATTTAGCATGTAGCATCACCTTGTGGTCTTCTACAAAAGTTGTATATATCATGCCCCTAAGATCAAAATTGGCCCTACCCTAGAAGTCACTTAGTTTACCTTGGTTTATATTGGAAAAAAAACATGAAAGCCTTATTTGGTAAAAATTCAATGCCCAGAGCTTAGATATTTGGCATAGCATTTCCAAGTGAACCTCTTTAAAAGTTATATACCGGTAAATCATGTCCCTAGGGTCATAATCAGTCCCTATGTAAATTTTTTTTTTAAATTTTTGTCAGAGATAACAATGCCCAGATATTAAGCATGACTTTCTGCACCTTATAGTCCTCTAAAGAGTTATAATAATCATGTCCTTTGGGTTAAAATTGGCCCCGCCCCAGATTTGTATTCTTTCTTTCTTATATACAATGCCAAGAGCTTAGACATTTGTCATGTAACTTTGCCTAGTGGATCTCTACATAAGGTATAAAGATCATGCCCCTAGGGTCAAAAACGACCCTGCCCTGGTGTCATTTAGTTTGCATAGACTTGAATAGTAAAAATGTCTTAAACATCTTCTTTGCAGAGCTTCAATACTTGGCATGATCAATTACCTTTTGGCTTCTGCAAAAGTTTTGTAAGGTAAAAAATTGGCCTACCCTGGGGGTAACTTAATTTACCAAGACTTGAATAGTAAACATTGTTCAAATCCTCTTCTCTGAAAGTGCTATGTCATTACTTTTAAAACTAATACACCTGGGTTCAAATCTGGCCCCATCTGGGTCATTTAGTTTATATAGATTTGTATTGGAACATACATTTAAATCTGCTTTTGTAAAACAATGCTTAGATATGTTATATGTAGCAATGTGTCTGGATGACTTCTACAAAATATATATAATAAATGCCCTCAAGATAAAAAAAAGGTTATGTCAAAAGGGTAACTTAGTTTACATAAATTGCCTTTTTAAACTTCTTTTACAATGCCCAGAGTTAAGATATTTTGTGTGGTCTTTAACAAAAGTTACACAAAAGTTACATAAACCATCCCCTTATGGTACAAATTGTCTAGTTCATGTAAATTTACATAGTAAAACTCATTTAATACAGTCTTCTTGTGTGAAATTTCAATACCAAGAGCCTAGATATCTACGATGAAGCGTTTTGATGCAAACATCTACAAATATTTTAAAAGTAATGCAGCTTTGGTAAAAAATGACAAACCCAATGTGACCTCATTACTGTCTTTATCTTTGAAAAATAGAAAATGTGACCTTTTCTAGCATAGTATCCCAGGTGAGCAATACCATCATGGCCTTCTTGATATGAAATCTGCTAAGCAAAAGTAACTATAAGTGAGTTGAACTTTTTAAACAATTGAGAATTTTTATATTGTGTTAACTTTAATGAATCACTTATTAATATAAAAAAAGAACTTTGATTTCTCAGTATCACAACACCTTTCTTTACAGATTTCCATTGTATGGTAAAGGAAAAGAAAAGTTCCAGTTTAACTATGGTGTGTTTTTGTTAAATAAAAATATAAGCCAGGTAAAGTCCTTATCTTTATTTATGATTGTAACAATTGAATACGAAAAGCACAATATGTTGGAAACATTGTATACTTAATATAAAAATCATCATAAAAATGTTAATCCTTTAAGCAATGAACTTTGATTCGGAGAAAACCATGTGCTTTTACAGTTTCATGTTGGCTGATAGTCATTGATGAATTCAGCAAAATGAAATTAAAATGACTTATGTTATGTATGTTTATAATTTCAGTTGAGATTTTATTGCGGACTTGGGACAACAGATCTAAGACTGACTTTACCAAATATTAAATCTCTCCTAGAATCACGACTTGGGATCAAATTGTAAGTCTAAATAATTTAGAAAGTAGAGATAACATTTTCATAAACATAATTTTACAGCCACTAGTCTGTTCAGGTTGTAAGTGCCCATATCAACATGTACTAGCTTGGTTAGTGATTCTATATTTATGTATGGAGGGGAACCTTTGTTCTAAAAGTGTTTACTGTGAACTCTTAAATTATAATATTATACTGAGTGGATCTTTTGTTTTGTGATTGTTCACTTAAGAGAAAATCCATATGAAGAGAGGTGAAACTTTATTCTTCAAGTGTTAACTTAAAAGTAAATTTAAAGACAGGAACCTTTGTTCTACTGGTTTTCTTAAGTTTAAAATTTTAAAGAGAGGGGAAACTTTGTTTTACCAGTGTTTACTTATGTGTACATTCAAAAGAAAGGAACCTTTTACAACCAGTGTTCATGTCAGAGTAAATTTATGAAGACAGGGGAACCTTTGTTCTACCTGTGTGCACTTAAGTGTGAATTTATTTTAAGAGAGGTACCTTTGTTCTACCAGTGTGATGTAATGTATAAAGTTTATGGATTTATCAATGCATTATTTTTCTTTTTCCTTTTTTCATTTGGACATTGCAAAGTTGACCAGAATTTAATTTATTTCCTCACTTTTTGAAATTTGATTAGAATCTATTTTTGAAAAAAAAAAACCGAAACATTTAAAGTATAGCTTATTCACTAGAATGAGCAGTCTTCACTTTATCCTATTAAAAATAATGAAATAAAAAAAATTATGTATGAATATTTTAACTGGACTTTTGAATGGGGTTTCAGCCCCAGTCATATCACAAAATGTCACATGGTATAGGTATGGTGAAATTACAAGCAATTATTCTTATTGTAACACTTTGTGGCCTATTGTTCTACAAGAGATGTTACAATATGATAAATACATAGGCTATCAATTTTTAGATAATTATAGACTATGAAAGAGCCTAAAACTAGGTCAAAGAATTTTGAATCTTTTTTAATGAAGATTTATATTAAACAGTAATTGTTATTAAAAAAACTTTACTTGCAAGAATGTGTAAGAAGCGATCTTGTTTTTTTTTACCACTTTCATTTACATGATATCAGTTTTGTAGCTTTTTGTAACATAAATATGGTTTAAAACTGGTAAAATTCCTACAAATTAAAGTAGCTTATAGTACGAGGGTAAATCAGTAGTTTTGTTGTTTTCAGTGACAGTCATGAAGTAGGAAAAACCAGACTGGATTTTAAAGATAATTTCAGCATTCCTTCAGATGGGAAAACAGAAACTCTCAGTTCTCTAGCCTCTGGTAGTCAAAACAACGCTAAACATCCAGAGGAGCTGGTTTTAGAGAGAGAACTCTTAAACAACACAAAAGGGCTTGAAATGGACCCAAAGTCTGCAAACAAAGAAAATATTCCAAATTTAACAGATATAAATGGGGGAAAGATGGATCACATTTTAAGTGATAATGAGGAAATGTTCCAAGCATCTGAGGATAATTTTTTCAAACTTAGACTGACTACCTTCAACAATGACTCTGGAAATAACTCAAGCTGCGGCTCATTTTCTGAACAAACAAACGGTATGATGTCATTTAGTCGTAACTTTAGTTTGTCTCCGTCCCCCGGTAGTGGAGAAAACAATATAAGTACAGAAAATAATATAAGTGGGGAAAATGATGTGATGTTAGTGAACCATTCCACAATGCAAGGTGCCGAGTCAAGAACCAGTCTTGGGTCATGTGATGAACTCTCCTTTGTGGAGGAAACTGTAGAAAACACTCAAGCGCCACCTAGTGGTTCAATCTGTGATAATACTAATGAAACAAATAGTGCTGTATCTTCTGATGTTACCACTGGAACTCTAGATGGAGAAAAGATTAATGGACATTCAACATAACATAACTCAAAGACCAGTCATTGGCTGAATGTGAAACAGTCCTTCCATTATCTCTAAATATATACTGTTAAATCATTATTATTTGTGGGGTGGGGCATGAATTTTCATGGTTTTCGTGGGTAGGTCAATCCACGAATTTAAGATCCGACGAAATTTTATCCCAACAAATACTTCAAATGAAAATTCACGAATTTAAGAACCCACAAAAATGCCCGTTTTGATAAAACCATGAAATTTCATGCCCACAAATATATAAGTGAATTCGCAGTAGTTGCTTTGCTTGTTGATAATATAAGAAGTAAGACCTTTCATTTGTGCCTATATAAATGAGGTTTCAGTTGTCAACTATTCTTTATATTGCTTTTTGTTTTTCAGATCGTTATTTATTGCTGATTCCACTGCATTCATCTTAATAATTTTAGATATTTACAAGATTGATCTTTCTAGTTCAAATTTCTAGGAGTGAGAAAGTTTGGGTTCAAGTTAGCTTATATTTAAAGGGACCAGATTTTTTTTTCATTGTGAATAGTTTGCATTTTTAGCTCATTATTTTTTTTTAAGAAAAAATTTGAACTATTGCTAAAGTCAGGTTGTTGATGCCGTTGCTGTCCAGAAACTTTAACAGTGGCCATAATTTTGTAGTATCAAATTATTGTTTTTCCATTATTTTTTTGCAGTAATGAGCTACAACTTTGTAATTAATGAATGTATTGTCTTCAAATTTGTTTACAATATTAACAACAATCCTTGAAACAATGGATTTAATGGAACTTGACATTGACCTTAAACTGACCTTGACACTTCACGTCAAACTGTTGGTAATAACTTTATTTATTTATTTATGGACTAGTTCTATACTTGGACCAAAAAAACTTATCACAAAACCTATATGTTGAATAATCAAATATGACCTTTATCTTCAATTGACCTTGACTGGCAAGGTCAAATTATAGAAATTTACTTAAATTTTGACAAAAGAATACATATGAAAAAACTTATACATTGAATTGTTTTTATATGACCTTGACCTTTATTTGACCTTGACATATTGAAATTTGTTTAAATTATCATAACTTTGTTAGTTATTTATGCATTCTTGGACAAGAGAACACATATGACAAACTGACAAGAAATTGACTATCTAGGTCAAATATGAAATTTGAATTTTATTTGTTACCAAAAAATAATGTTTTGTAGGAGTACTGTTTACTATAATATTCTTCCACTGATGTGTTTTAATTTAGAAATAAGCAAAAGTCGAACATGGCCATTGCAAGCCAGTGGCTCTTATTTTGAGATTTTGATTAATTTACTTGTTATTAAAATCTTTCATGATTAAATACATTACAAGGCACGCTGTTTACAATAACAGTGTGTTTGTGAGAAAATGTACATTTGAAATTATTTCAAGTTACTTCAGTTTCTATTTTATTAGTGCTCCTAAGGACTTTTGATTCCTTTTTTCAGAAATAAGTGCAATCAATAGAAATAATGTAGTTTATGCCTTACTTTCTGATTATTTATGCTTAATAAGGATCAAATGAAATGTCCATGATTCTCTTGGAGAATTGACAATCTTAATATTTTTTTATGAATAAATTATTTTTTTGTATTAGTTTAATTGCTATTTAGTATCAACCATAATGATGTAATGAAACAACTTCTGTAGGATAGAACTAAAAACATTGACTGGTTAATGAGACACTTCAATAACGGAATTTATACTTGACCTACCTCTATATAAGATTTCTCATTCTGACTTGTACTTCAAACAGAATATCAGTTTTATATACAACCAACAGGGTTGTTTCTCTCTTTACTTTTTTATAAGGTTGGTAATAATATTCATGTTCAATTTCACTGTTTGTTTGTTGTTTTGTGTTGTTAATATTAAATGTAGATAAGACGTCCATTAGATATTAAAGGGTTTTTCACTGAGGTTTTTTGACATGATGGGACTGAGAATATTTTTTCCAGATAAATGTACCATTTGATATAGGTTTTGACCACTTTGTGCAAAATTTCAGATCATTCGCATACTTCCTTTTTCCAGAATAATTATTCAAATTGTAAAAAATTACCCAAAATGAAAAGCGTTTAAACGCTTTTCACTCAGATCAGGCTAAGAAAAGCATAAAAATACGATTTTCAATTTATTTCAAAATATTAGGGATGGCAACGAGTAACCGGTTAACCGAGTACTCGATCCAATGTCCAAATATCGGTTAACAAAATTGATATCTTTAGACCGAAGGTCGAGCGAAATATCAATTTTCCAACATTGAGAGTAGAAAAATGCATAGGCTACAACACAATTTGAATTATAAATGATTTTCATTATACTACACTTCTATAAGAAATTTCAGAAAATTAAATGTAGCTTTCAAGGAAGATGGATGAATACGTAATTTTTGCAAAACCGGCCACGCCTTTTATAATTTTGGTTTCCGTTTCCAAATGCTACGTTTATACACAGCTAAGATCGGAACCAACGTCAAAAATAGTCCGGCACTTCCATATATGGTACCGTATTTGTCACTAACATAATACGGAATTTTCTATCCGTTGAAGCGTATTTGCGCTTCAAGTTCATCCTGTATTTTAGGGAGAAAATTTGTAGGTATATAATAAATGCTGTCATTGACATTTCTTATGTTTATATTTATATATGTATTTCTTGCAGTCCTATTTATAGTTACGAATTCTATGAATTAAAATAGAAAACGAAAGTAGCATGCAGACGGTGTTGATATTGTGTGATAAAACTTTAAAGATCATTGGAAATCATCCGAGTAACCGAGTACTCGATCGGAAAAATGACCGAGTACTCGAGTATTGATTTTGGTATTCGTTGCCATCCCTACAAAATATATTTCTTAACTATCTTTGCATACATTTCTGATTAAAATGCCCCAGCTCATTTATGTAAGAAATTCAAATGTTATGTTTTTAGGCTATTAAACCTCAGTGGAGTCCCTTTAATAATCTAAGGAAATTGATGAAAATCTCATAGAGAAATACAAAATTTTGTTACGGTATAAATACACGAAATGTTCAGAAGTGTTGGTCAGGCTAAATGAGAATTTAATATCAACCTGTACAACACTTAATTTGTGTTATAATGATAATTGTGATGGAGATTTGTATATCACATTAGTGGAATTGATCATCTGTATAGAGTGGTCAGAATGTTCACATTTCATTGTTGGTTTGACTGTACTGGTTTCATAGAAATCTGGGAAATTACCGACCTAGTTTGATCGGGTCAAATGACGGCTGCAACATTTGTAAAATACACCCCTAGCACGAGTTATTTAAGCACTACACAATCAAATGATCCCAAAGACTAGAAAAAATATAACAATAATAAAATGAAGTTGACTATACAGGTGTTTTCTACAGAGTTAATACATTTAACAGCTGCATAGATTTCTTGTTTGACTTTGCTCATGGTTGCGAAGATTTGCTTGGCTCTACAGATCTATGTCTTGTTTTAGCTTGGCTTTAAAAAGTTGCATAAACTTTATTGCAAAGGTGTATTGTTTGGTTCTCCAGGAGTCACATTTACTTACCTTATTTTAATGTTATATTGTTAAAAGTTTTCGCTCTTTTACCCCAGGATATTAAAATTGATTTCTGTTCAACCAATTTGTTTAAGAAATAACACTGTCTCAATTAATCTGCTATTTAACACCAGTTAGAAGTTTTAATGTGTAGGATTTCTTTGCCAGAACAAAACAAAGAACTGGTGTTAAATTGCCAATAAACAACATTCTGACCAATATCATATTGATTCTAACAAAACAAAATAAGGGAGATCACTAATGCTATTTTCAAGCAGAGAATATTTCTACAGTCTATTTTTGTTTCTGGTTGTTCTATTCTGCATACTACTGTCATTTCAGTAATAAAGAAAGTAATTTATTTATAAGAACTGAATCCTGTTTCATATTAAGCATCAATAAAATGTTAATTTTCAAAAATTATATTAACAATTTAAATTTGTTTATCAGACTTGATTGTGTAGTGTTTACTAGATAATGAATCTTCATGCTCACCCATACATGTAAGTTTAAATGACATCATTCTGGTGCTTGCTATGAATGAGTGACATACTAGATGATGTCATTACGCTGCTTATGAATGATCTAAGATTCTTCTGATGTAAATTATACCAACTGATATGGATAAAGATATAATTCAAAATCTGCCATGTTACTGTCTGCAAGGTGTACTTCAGCATTATACATGTTTAAAAAAGAAAACATAAAAGAAACGTAAAAAAGCAGTACAATTATTTATAATGTTGCATTTGTTTATCAATTTTATCTGAGGGAGTACATGTACAAAAGAACAACCAGTGATTATTGGCAGTTTATCACCAGTTATTATCTTCTTTGTGACAAAATCATCCCGAGTCATGTAAGAATTAGATATTTGAGATGCCCTAACACCAAACTGTATCATGTGTATACAGATACATGTAGTTAAGCATATAGACTACTTTTAGAAAAGTCTTCAAATATGCAGTCTAATGGGGAAGTTCATGTAGATACTTTATGTAAAATTTTTTGTTCTTTTAAATGTTATTATAGATTATAAATATGATTGTTTTAGGAAGATAGTGCTATAAATATGTTGGGATCATGTGCAATTTGTTATTGTTTTAAAATATGAATAAACATGAACATGTTGTAGTCTTTGTATTATTGACAATTTATCTTGGCCATGTTAACATAATCAGTTCTTATTTATTAGCTCACCCCATACATGATATTAAACAAGTAAAGCTAAATTACTAGTACATGTAGCTCATCTTGGATCAGTTAGGTAAGGTTATCACCTGCCCAAAAAGATCATGATTATATAATCCTTATTCAACTTTCATTGCTTTATGTAGCTACAATATTTCAGACTGAAAGACATTGTAATATGGTTATGAGCAGAATGCAAATGATTTCTGATTTGCAATGAAACAAACCCCTATTTGGTTAACATAAAGGAATACCTAAACTAATACAAAAACAACCAGATCAAAAAAAGGATCTATTTTAGGATCAATTTTAACACAGATATCTTGTTAATTAATTGAAATTGATACACAAATGTATTTTTTACTCCAAAACTTCATAATACCTGCTTTTTCAAGTCCACTCTATTAACATTTAATATAAATGAGTTTTTTTGAGTTTTTGTATTTTAATCCTGGTCCTTTAAAATCTTAATGAACATGTGACCAGGTTCTCATTCAAGTGTTAGATATATGTGACTATAACTTCACCATTATGATGGTAGCTGTCTGTGCAGTTATTGTACATACTGTCAACACATACTGTGAAGATACATATATAAATTATTTTATTAATACCTGGCTCATTTCATTTTAGCTATGACTGAAATAAAACAAGAGCCACCGCCGGGCGGGGGCAACGCTCGACTTTTTACTTTTTCTAAACGCAAACATAGAAAGGTTTGAACATATATTGATGTTTCCTTTTTATAAATTTAGTTGGTCTGTCTTGTCACATTAGTTTTGTTTATATATTTTGTATATATATGAATAGAAACATTAAGCATATTTCTAAAAATAGCAACAGTACGCAATTTCTAAAAATAGCAACAATGACGCAATTTCTAAAAATAGCAACAATGACGCAATTTCTAAAAATAGAAAAAATGACGCAATTTCTAAAAATAGAAAAAATGACACAATTTCTAAATAAAGAAAAAAAAAGACGCAATTTCTAAAAATAAAAACAATGACGCAATTTCTAAAAATAGAAGAAAAAAAATGACGCAATTTCTAAAAATAGAAACAATGACGCAATTTCTAAAAATAGAAAAAAATGACGCAATTACTAAAAATAGCAACAATGACGCAATTTCTAAAAATAGAAACAATGACGCAATTTCTAAAAATAGAACAAAAATGACGCAATTTCTAAAAATAGAAAAAAATGACGCAATTTCTAAAAATAGCAACAATGACGCAATTTCTAAAAATAGAAAAAAATGACGCAATTTCTAAAAATAGAAACAATGACGCAATTTCTAAAAATAGAACAAAAATGACACAATTTCTAAAAATAGAAAAAAATGACGCAATTTCTAAAAATAGCAACAATGACGCAATTTCTAAAAATAGAAAAAAATGACGCAAATTCTAAAAATAGCAACAATGACGCAATTTCTAAAAATAGCAACAATGACGCAATTTCTAAAAATAGAACAAAAATGACGCAATTTCTAAAAATAGAAAAAATGACGCAATTTCTAAAAATAGAAGAAAAAAAATGAAGCAATTTCTAAAAATAGAAAAAATGACAATTTCTAAAAATAGGAAAAAATGACGCAATTTCTAAAAATAGAAAAAATGATGCAATTTCTAAAAATAGAAACAATGACGCAATTTCTAAAAAATAGAACAAAAATGACGCAATTTCTAAAAATAGAAAAAAAAATGACGCAATTTCTAAAAATAGCAACAATGACGCAATTTCTAAAAATAGAAAAAATGACGCAATTTCTAAAAATAGAAAAACATGATGCAATTATATACATGTATATATATGTATGTATATATATATATATATATATATATATATATATATATATATATATATATATATATATTTGATATATATATATATATATTTGATATATATATATATATCTATATATGTATATATATATATATATACATGCATATATATATATATATATTTATATATATATATATACCTGCATATATGTATATATATACACACACACATTTATATATATATATATATATATAATACATATACTATACATACACACACACCAATAAATGCACAATCTGAGAAAATTCAGTAATATAACCTTCAAAGTCAAGGTCATTAAAGAGCCCAAGCAAATTGGGTTTGATAAACAACAAGGTCTGTTCCTTAAGAATGTTCTGTTATAATATGAAGTTTATCCCTTCAAAAATAGCAAAGTTACAGTCAGTTACTGCCGAAACAATGAAAATTTCAATAATTTGACCTTCAAAGGCAATGTCATTAATGAGTGAAGGTCAAGGTCTTTCGGTATATTTTTAACAGTTATCTTTGAAGATTATTATGTTCAAGTTTTAAGACAATCCATCCAAAAATAACAAAGTTACAGCCAATAATAGCCAAAAAAATGAAAATTTCAATAATTTGACCTTCAAAGTCAAGGTCATTGATGAGTGAATGTCAAGGTCTGACTGGTTATTTTTAAGGGATATCCTTGAAGATTATTATGTTCAAGTTTGAAGACAATCCATTCAAAAATAACAAAGTAACAGCCAATAACAGCATGAACAAGCAAAAATTGGACTTTTAACCTTGAAGGTCAAGGTCATTTATGGATGAAGGTCAAGGTTAGTGTGGTCTACTGAAAGGTCTTGTCCCAAGGGTTGTTGTGGCCAAGTATGAAGACAATACACCAAGAAATAAAAAAGTTATGATCCAGGTACAAGTTTTCGGACGGCAACGGAGACGGCAACGGCAACGCCGACCTGACTATAACAATACCTCTACTTTTTTTTTCAAAAAAAAAAAAAGTCGAGCTAACAATCAAAGTAAAATGTTTATACTATAATAAAGACCTATTAAAATACAGTGAGTATTTGGTCTGTAGACTTGAAATTTGAGGTATATCGAGGATGTTGAAATTCCTATGACACTTCATCTACAGCAATCTGTATACACACAGAGTTTCTTTAAACTTAGATTAAGTGGTACAATAATATAAATATGAAGTGAGACTAAAAGATGGAAAGAGTTAAACACACAAATAAATAGTTTCTTTGAATCATATTTTAATTTTTAATTAAAATATAAAAATTGTACAATCATCATAACAATAAGAATCAATTACATTATTCAGCATGAGATAATTATATCAGTTTATAATGTAATGACCTTGTATTTATGTGAGATATATCATCAGAAATTTTACAGGACATTTAATAACCTTTTCATAAAATTCATCATTGACTCAAAAATACAAGGGCATTTACAAAAACTTTCTTTAAAAAATCATCAACAATGAAAGGGAAAATATGATCAATGCTTATAGAATTAAAAATAATTATGTAGACAATATAAATATTTATTGATGATTACATGTATCCTACTCCGTAATGTTGACAAACATGTTGTTCTGGTCGTATTGAACAAAGTTAATATTACATAATGATGAATGCTTTCATAAATAATAACATTTATTTACAGTTAAAATAATCACATGTTATATGCATACACATATATATAATTAATTTATATAAACAACATTCATTATCAGTTAATGATAGTTATAAGTTTTTTTATTTTTGAAGACCAACTTCTGATTGACTTGTTTGTTTAGGAAGTCATTCAGAGTCAACTGTTCATGACTTGCTTGTGGGTGTTTCCACTGGGAACTTTTCTACCACAACTTCAAACATTCTCTTGAATACCTCCGGCTCCTGTGCTCCAGAAAACATTTTTTGTCCATTGAAGTAGAAAGTTGGTACCCCTAGAATGTTAATTTAAACTGATTAGTTCTGTCAATATAAATGCAATACTAAGATATATATCTGAAATGGACATGTCCATCCTTCAATCTGGACAAAACCATTTGTCATTTTTTAGGGAAATTTTCAAAATATATACTGACTGAATAGTGTACAGTATATAGCCCATGATCTGATGGCATGGACATGTCTGTAATAGTTACATAGGTAGAATCTGTTGCCACTAGAAGTTTAAGTATGGTATGATGAAAATAAATCATAAAATATAGGTAGCCCATTGCAGTACAAACTGCCACAGTAGAAAAATGTGACACTTACTATTCTAGAATATGAATTTTAAAACTTGGTACTGTAATTTAGTAAATGCAATCACATTCTGTTTAAAATTTATTTTTATTTTATTTGCAATAATTAATTTATCTATTATTTTTTCAAATTTGAAGAATTAAAAAATTCTCAACGTCATGAAGACATAAGGCATATAGAAAATTATGGATTTATTCTATATAAAATGTGGCAGAAAAAAGTTATTATAAGGGAAACGAGTCTACTGACAAGGCAGTCTTTTAAAATGTAAGACTTCATGTCACCATATGGTGTTAAGTATTACCTGAAATTCCTTTCTCTGACCAGCTTATAGCCCGTCTAAATGTTGCATTTATATTTCTATCATCATTTATGAATGCTTTAACTTGTTCCTCATCAAGTCCACACTCTTTAGCAACACTTAAACAAGTCTCTTCTTGTAGTGGTTCAGCATCTGTGAAACATCTCTGAAAATTTAAAACACATCATATGAAAGAGAATAGCTCTGTACAATTACATGTATTACAAATGTAACGGTTCAGAACTGTTCACTATATAGGGGAGTAGATATGTAAGCTCAGTCGTAGAGCCACGGTACGTTATTCTGAGGGTCCCCGGTTCAAGTCCCGGTCAGACTGCACATTTTTCTCACCCTGTGACATTTGGTGCCCAACGTATATATGTTGTACATAAATGCACATTCATTCTAAGCAACATTGAAAGTTTTTTTTTAAGAATCCCATTTGTGATATATGTTTATGTTACTATTAGTATGCTTTATAATTGCTGGGGGAAATTACATTGCCTTTTTAAGTAAACTTTTACCGGTTTTAAACAAAGGAAATATGAAATATGTAAAGATAC